CCGTCGCCTGAGCGCTCGTGGTCACACAATCGCGGCCGCCGCGGGGGGCGGGGAGGTCGCCGTCGCGGAGGGGGAGGGCGCCAGTCGTCCTCCGACGTTGTGAACGCCCTAAAGGGGCCCCTGGAGGCTGTTGCGCAGGCGCTGCGCGAATCGCGGGCGGCGTCGTCCAACCAAGCGGCTCCGTCGGCTGCTCCTCCCAATCCTCCTGCTGTTGCAGAGTCCTCAGGCCACGCGGCGTCCCCGGCGCGCTTAAATCAGCTGCAGCCGGGACTTCCTGGATTTGTTGGTGCTGGTGGGGGGCCAGCGAGGCGCCCGTATGTCCCGCCAGACATTCCGCGTCCTCCGGTGGCAGCGGCTGCTCGGGAAGTCCCCACGGCGACCCTGCGCCAGCTGTGGGGTCTAGGAGAGTGACTTCGGAAGCTCGTACAGATTCTTCACTCCACGCGGGCGTCGATGCCGATAGACCGTCCGAGCAGATTCGCTGAGAATCCGAGAGCAGAGTGCTATCGGGCGGCGAACGAATTCTGCTCACTCGTGGCGCCACTGCAGGTTGCGCCCGTCCCGGGTGCAGAAGCGGCCAGCCTGCTGGCTCACGCGGTCCTGGATCTGAGGAACACCGCAGCGTCCCCGGAAGGCACACCTGTAGATGCCTTAGCCGCGTCCGTGTTAGTGGCCCGCCACATGTGGCAGATCTTGCGCGGTATGCTAGTTGCGCTGGAGGCGGACCGCATGTAGGCGGCCCCTTTCTACGAGTGTAGATCTTCTCCATGTGCTGGTGCTAGTTGTAGGCGGTTGCCGCTCTTGTTGTCATTTTTCCCTCCTGTTAGTCTTGCTTGCTTGATGTTGCTTGCCTCCGAAAGCACGCGGCCGCAGGCCGCCGGCGCGAGCGCCGATTTCAGAAACCGAACGAAATAATGAGAAGAACAAGGCCCTAGAGGCCCTTATATAGCTGGAGGAAGAGGGCAGAGGTCTAGAGGGCAGAGGGCAGAGGGCAGAAGCAAAGGACCCATCTCTCTCTCGCTCTCTCGAACACCGATTTCAGAAACCGAACGAAATAATGAGAAGAACAAGGCCCTAGAGGCCCTTATATAGCTGGAGGAAGAGGGCAGAGGTCTAGAGGGCAGAGGGCAGAGGGTAGAGGCAAAGGACCCATCTCTCTCTCTCTCTCTCTCTCTCTCTCTCTCTCTCTCTCTCTCTCTCTCTCTCTCTCTCTCTCTCTCTCTCTCAAGCAGTCCTTTATTGATGTGTGCAGAAGGTACAGGCAGGGCATCAATTGTCCTAGCAAACATACAAGCCTTGACCAGCCGGTTGATAGACTACAAGCAATAAAATCTGACCCAGCGTTGTTTATAAGCCGCATCGGTACCGCACCTGTACTCCTGTCCATACCATGGCAAACCCGCTTCAACAACAGCTCATATCTCCCCACTCTCCCGTATCCTAGTTTCTGCCAGTGAGGGTGAGTGCGGAGCTTGGAGTAGGCCTCCCTTACTCCTCAGGGGTTGCCCCGGCCCTCTACTCCCAGGGGTCGAGCACTTGGGCCAGGTCATCCTCCAGGACCTGCCACAGGTCCCCGAGGCTCGGCTCCCACGGGTCAGCCGCCGCCTGTGGGTGCGCTGCCTCGAGTGCCCTGTTGGATTTGGCCATCAGGGCATTTGCTTGGCAGCGCTGGAGCATTACCGACCATCGCTGTCGGTAGTGCGCCGTAAACTTCGAGGCTACTGCCGTCAGCCGCCCTTGTCGATGCTTCGTTTTTGCCGCCTGCGTGCCTAGGAGGCGGAGGAACCGCTGGGTGTCCTTAGCCAAGGCCCCGTAGGTTTCCACCGCCAGGCCGAACACCCCCACGAAGCCGGGCCGCCCCTCATACAGTCCCCGCTTCACCCTTGCCGCATCCTCCGCCGCCCACCCCGGCGGCTTCACCGCTCGCTTGTCTCGCCGCTGCAGGACCGGGTCTGTAACCGTGACGTCTGTCACATATGTCTCATTCGATTCCGTGTCACGGATGACGATATCCGCTCGCTTTTGGTTGGTTATAGGCGAGAGGATCGCCGTCTCGTGCAAGGCATTGTAACCCGCTTCCCTTGCCATACGCAGCGCCGCATACACCAGTGAGTTGTGGGTGTTCGTGCGGTCCCCCCCCGTCCGCACATCGCAGCAAGTGGTTCGGCAGGCTGCTATCCCGTATGGCCGACCGCTTTCCTTTGCAGGGGCATCTCTCCGTCACCGCCAGGGGCAGCCCAAGGCGGAAACCGAGCGCCACTACAAACTGTCCTGGTGAGAAGGTGAGGCCGCCTCTTGTGGGGACAGCGTGAACCCAATCTCCTGCCCCCACTCCGTGCAGCGCTATGAGTCGGATCACGTGTCCGTTGTCCACACCCGGCTTGTCCTTCCTTGTGTCACGTCACCCACCAGGTAGGCCGCTCTATCTTGGTTTATGTACCTCGAAAGGAGCAGCTGAAGGTGCCCTTTCCCGTCCCCCTTCTGGTAGGTCGTCTTCAGTATCTCGCGGGCCTGCTCTGGCAGCCGGTTCCTGAGGTCCTGGAGTGTCGCTCCTCCCCCACCCGCTGTCTCTTCCTCTCTCATGGGAGACAGTAGGTCCGCCACATGCCGATGAGGGTTGTCAGGCTCCGTCACCGTATGTCGCAGGAGTGTGTTGGCCGCGTGCAGCGAGGCGAGGTATGCCGCCGGTGCCTCCGAGAGTGGGTCTATGAGCCCCAGTCCACCTAGGCAGGTCGGTAGTGTCGCCTGGCGCCACACGAGGCTCTGCTCCAGCTCACTGGCCGGTGCCTCCATCTTTGCCGCCTTGAGCGCGGTCCAGAGCAGGTCTTCACTCCAGTCGCGCCATTCCACCAGCGGTAGTGTGTCAGCCGGCGTCGTGCAGAGCATGTAAGGGATGCGCCGTGACACGCATCTGGAAAGCAGCAGTAGCGCGTGTTGCGGGTGCATCCTGCCGATGAGCGAGAGTGGCGCCGCTGCCGTGCTGAGAGCCATTCGAATGAGCCTCCGCCCATACTCCCTCGTCTCCACCGGGCTCCCGAGCACACGGATGCCGTCGATCGCTGCCACCAATCCTTCCGGGAGGTCATCTGAGCAGCCGGCCGGGCACCACGCCGAGGATTTGCCCATGTTGCACCTCAGTCCACACTTGCGCAGCTCGTCCGTGATGATGTTCACGCTCTTTATTGCCTGTGCCGGGGCGCCGATGATTGTGATGTCGTCAGCGTACGCCATCACTGCCACCGAGGGGCACATGGCTGCTGCCTTCAGCAGGGTTGGCTGGATCGCTGCCGCGAATAGCATAGGCCCCAGGGGGTCTCCCTGACGGATCCCTCTGGTGCTCACGATGTATCGTTCGTCGAAACCCGGGTCCAGGAGGAGGCGTGTCGGCTCGCCGTACAAAGATCGAACCAGCGGTAGCAGTGGCTCGAGAGTCGTCCATTTGAGCGACGAGAAGAAACACTCCCGCTCCACCGAATTGAAAGCGTTCTCGATGTTCAGCTGTATCGCGATCCGCGTTGGGTCCTAGTCTAACATGGCTCGGCTCGGGTGGCGTGGATTATGGTCTCTGCTCCTCCTGCTACCGCCACGCCATACTGCTCCTCCTGCTACCGCCACGCCATTCAGCTGTTTCGCAGCGCTGCTTTTGCTGCGATCCTATCGCTATCGGTCTGACGCCCCCTCCCGGTTTCTCTAGGGCTATGAGCCGTGACGGAAGTAATAGGTCTTTTAGCGGCGATGTTAGGTGGGTGTTGAGGAGCGAGTTGATAACTGTGTGCAGCAGCCTGAAGACTTCCCCGTTCGCCAGCGCAGGGTCACGCAGATGCTCAAAGCAGGTTCCCGACGGCCCCGGCCCAATACCGTTTGGGCACTTAGCTAAAACGTCGCGGAATTCGTCGGTCGTAATCGCCAGCTCAGACGATTCGTATCCGGTAACCCACCCAGGGGTCGCTTGTCCCGCCGGGGGGTGCTTGGCGCGAAGGGTCGCGAGTGTCGCGGAAGATTGCTCGGCGAGCGGGGCTGATTGTAACGCTGACAGTGCTTTCGCCAGGTTCGCTTTTCGTACCAGGCCCTCGGCCCTGGCGCACATCCCTTCCGGTTGGTGCCTGCTTGGTTGTGGGTTCGGGGGGATGATGCAGGCTTCCGAGAAGAGGAGCTCCCATTCTTCCTCCTGGAATCGCTGCAGTCGCTTCTCGACCACACCCCAACGGTGCACTTTCTCGATTTCCGCTCGCAGGGTCAGCCTCGGTAGGAATTGAAGGAGTCGCCATGCGCCAGCGCAGTCTGGAACCTTCAAGAGACATAGCAGGGGGATCGTCATGCAATAGGCATAAGCTACTAGGATCTTTGGCGGAAGCTTCCGGAACAGGAAGGGTTGGGCACTGCAGCATAGTGGCCCCACGTCCCACCCGTCCGCATGGCGCCATGCATCCGAGTCAGCCGCGATGTCAGCTGGCGATCTTTCTTTGCTGGCGGCCTCGTTGGGTTGGGCTCCACGTGACTCCCCCTCGTTGGCGTTCGTTCCATTTCCCTCCCTCCGTGCCCTCCCATTCGTCTCGTTTGCCGGGATACCTTGCTCAATGTCAAGAGACACGTCTTCCGAGTCCCCGCATTCCTCCTCCATATATTCGTCGTCCCCATCATCCTCCCCTTCATTCATTGGGTCTTCTCCCTGATGTCGTTCCGGCCTCCCGTGCCTCTCCCGCCAAGTTCCAGATCTAGCTTTTTCCCTAGCCACGGCTGCCGCTAGGCCTCCTCGCCCTCCCCTTCCGCTCCCCGTCCCCTCGACGCGGCCAGTTCTCCCCCTCGCGCTCTAGCAGGCGGGTTTCCCGCCGCTGCCTCAGCTGCACGTTCCCGGAGCAGCCTCTGTCGCGCCGTTCCTACTCGACGCCGGTCAATCGAGGCGACCTGCTCCTCCTCTTCCGCCGCCGCGGCTTCCTCCACCGCGGTCCCTGTCCTAGCCGTCGCTCCGCGGGGCCTCCCCGCGTCGTTTCTCGCTCCTAATGACGGGCCGCCGCCGTTCGCCTCGGCGCGATGTGATTGTGGCGGCGGGATCTCCTGCCCTGCCCACCCCACCATTGGCCCAGGGCGGGGAGGTGCCAGCCCTGTTCCGAGCCGTCGCGGACTACTTGTATGCGGGCGTCGGCAGCGCCCCGCCTGCACGTCCGGTACCTCCTGCGCGGTCGAGGCAGCCGGTGTATCGCTCTCCTCGTGGGCGCACCCACCCTTATCTCCGCGCGCCCGGTCAGTCCTTCCGCCGCCGCCGTCCCCCCCGGCCGCCGCCATCTGGGCAGGCCCGTGTCCGGCCCCCACTCCATGCCCCGCCCGCGCAATCCTAGCCGTTGCAGCTACCTCCGGCGGCTGATGAGTCCGCGTCCTCTTATCAGGCTCCGCCGCCTGCGCCAACGCAATCCGCGCCCCCATTCCCGCCATCGCGTGCCGCGCTGTTGACGCCGGGGTCGGCGCCGTCTCCTCAGTCGCAGCTCCCTGTTCCCGCTCCTCCCCCGGTGCCTCCAGCTCCGCAGCCATCCGCTGATCCTTGCGCACCCGCGCCAGCCTCGGTCGCGGCGTCGGACTCGCCGTTGCCCCTGCCGCAGCCGGGCGTCCCCCCTGCTCCGCCTCAGTCGGCGGCACCTCCAATTCCTCCGTTTGTGTATTCGTACCCCCCTCGGTTGGATGCGACTGCTCCGGCTCCGCCGGCTTCTCGCTGGCTGCCTCCGGCAGCTCGCACGTGTCAGCCTCGTCGTCAGCACCCTCTTGTGCCCCGCTCTCGCCTCCCGGCTGCGGTTTTGGTTTTGTGAGTGTGCGTTTACTACGATCCAATTTGGCCCCCCGTGCGCTGTTTTCCCTTTGATACCGCTCGCCTCCTCGTTGATGCCGTTCCTCCGCTCCTTGTCGTTCCCCCCCACCCCTGGTTCCGCAGCATCAGCCGGTGTCTGGCCTCTCCCGAGGCTACTGGAGCGATGACGAGGTGCCGGGCACGCCTCGTGATCCGGACGTTGATTGGTGGGCGTCGTCGTGGCCCCAGGGGCAGAGTGGGGCGGACGGGGACTGGGGCACCCCTCCCCCGGATGCTCCTTGGGGGGAGCCTCGGCCTGGCGATGGGGCGTACCAAGCCCGGGGCATGCGGTTGTCGGACGTTGGTCGCTGTGTGACGGAGCTGTCCTTCGTGCTTGACCTTCTGCACGAAGCCTTTCAGTCGCGTGAGGTTGTTGCACGGGATCCGCAACTGGGCGAAGGCCAGCAGGCTCGGGCTCGCCGCGCGGTGTCGAGTGCGCTGTGGGACATTCTCCGCTTGCCGCTGGAACCTGAGGATCCTTCGTTGGACGACGGACCTGGCGCTGCAGCTTTCCACATGGTAGCCACGGCTGTTGAGGAGTGCCCTCTCGGCATCGTCCCTGCGATCGCGTGTGTGCTCCGGTGGCTCGGGCGGCGGCGGGTGGAGCGGATGTAGGCTTTGCACTTGCCGCCGGTGTTGTCGCTTGCTTCTTCCTCCCCATCGCGGGGGCTTACCTGTAGTGTGGCCCCTTATTGTGCTATGCTATCATGCTTGTATTGCCCCCCTTTTGTAACTTTGTGTTTTGCTCTCGTCCTTGCCACCCCAAACGCGCGGCCGAAGGCCGCGCTGTCGAGCGTCGGCCGCCTTCGGCGGCCGGCGCGAGCCGCTTGGTTGGGACGATCCACACTCACCAGAGAATAATGAGTGGTTTGATGGGATGAGGGAGGCTAAATAGGAGCATTGTACTGCTTATAGGCTAGCTGCAGGGGCTACACTAAGGAATAGGCTAAGGAAGACCTAAGAGCTATGCTATGCTAAGGATGACTAGAGAGAAAGTAAAGACTAAGGACTAACTTGGACTCTCTCTCTCTCTCTCTCTCTCTCTCTCTCTCTCTCTCTCTCTCTCTCTCTCTCTCTCTCTCTCTCTCTCTCTCTCTCGCTCTCTCTCGAAGGAGCCGCTGGGTTGGGACGATCCACACTCACCAGAGAATAATGAGTGGTTTGATGGGATGAGGGAGGCTAAATAGGAGCATTGTACTGCTTATAGGCTAGCTGCAGGGGCTACACTAAGGAATAGGCTAAGGAAGACCTAAGAGCTATGCTATGCTAAGGATGACTAGAGAGAAAGTAAAGACTAAGGACTAATTTGGACTCTCTCTCTCTCTCTCTCTCTCTCTCTCTCTCTCTCTCTCTCTCTCTCTCTCTCTCTCTCTCTCTCTCTCTCGCTCTCTCTCGAAGGAGCCGCTGGGTTGGGACGATCCACACTCACCAGAGAATAATGAGTGGTTTGATGGGATGAGGGAGGCTAAATAGGAGCATTGTACTGCTTATAGGCTAGCTGCAGGGGCTACACTAAGGAATAGGCTAAGGAAGCCTAAGAGCTATGCTATGCTAAGGATGATTAGAGAGAAAGTAGAGACTAAGGACTAACTTGGTCTCTCTCTCCCTGAGTACAAGGCGAGGCTATATATAGGCTCGACACAAGGCAGGTAACTAGGTGTTACATGAAGGTTCCGAGGGTCGCGAAGCGTCCCAAACAGACCCTTCCCGAATTCGGTAGAAGGCAATTCGGTGGCAACTGAAAAGCCTAGAATTCGGTGTACACAACCTAGTTCAGTGTCTATAACTATAATAACTGCAGTAAAAGCAACGAACCTAGGAAATCAAGCAAAAGCAAGCAAAGCAAAATAATGCTAAGCTAGATAATGCATAATAAAGTAAAGGCAAGCTAGCAAAGCCAGCATAAGCCATCGTACTCTCACACGTCCCCCCCTCAAAGCTGGGTGGCGTGAGATACACCCTGCTTGACAAGATAGTCCTTGAGAGCACAGCGTGCGTTGCCCATATCAGCTTCTGGTACCCAACTGTCCTCAGTGGGGTCGTATCCCTTCCAGCGTATTAGGAACTCGAGGGTCTTGCCGCCGCGGCACCGATGAGTGAGAACGCGCTCGATCTCGTACTCTGGTTCATCCTGCACAAGTACGGGTGGAGGTGGTGGCGGTAGCTGCCATCCCTGGAACTGTTGGTTGGGGTCCTTGTAGGGCTTCAGTAGCTGAACATGGAAAGCGTTGTGAAGCTTCCACGTATCTGGTAAGTGCAAGCGGAATGTAACTGGTGTCACCTGTGCCTCCACGAGAAAAGGACCACAGAAGCGAGGCCGGAGTTTGGATGGTAGGTGAGACAGGTTCAAGTTTCACGTGTCAAGAAGCACCTGATTTCTCTCTCTCTCTCTCTCTCTCTCTCTCTCTCTCTCTCTCGCTCTCTCTCTCTCTCTCTCTCTCCTTCCCCCTCCACGCACACACACTGTCTAATGCCCTACCTCCTCCCACACGCACTGTGTCTCGGTCATCTCCACACAATTTTTTTTGCACTCTCTCGCACACACATACTCGCTCCATCGCTCTTATATGCACTTGCTCTGCCTGCGCCACGCACACGCTCTCTCAATTTCCCTCACACACTCTCTTGCCCTTTCCATTCCATCCTCACTCTCAGTCTCTCCCAACTCCACCTCGTTCTCACTCTCACTCTCACTCTCCCTACTCCACCCTTTCTCATTCTCTCGCCATCTCCTCTCTCATAGTCGAGCGCTCTTGATCCCTCCACCTCCCCACTCACTCGCTATTGTCACTCGCTTTGTTGCCACCAAACTTGTGTTTAATGGAACGGCTGTGTTCAAGTGGAATGATTGGATGCACAAGCACAATGTGGTGGCCATTGGTACCTTCTGAGTCAACCGAAACCCCCACTTGCTTTCTTGCCATCATTCGTCGTGTGTGCAACAGTGTTTAAGTGGAACGACTGGATGCACAAGCACAACGTGGTGGCCATTGGTCCCACGCGCTACACCTCGTGCTACTTTGGGAACAACGGCGTCTCCTTCACTGTGCTTGGCAAGGCGGCGAAGCACGGCACTGTCATCATCTCAGCCAAGTCAGGCAGTGCAGATTACACGGGGTACTTTGCCAGCAGCGTTGGCAATGACTGCCGCAATGGCATGAAGGTGGCCTTGATTATTGAATGTAATGGGGTATGTTGATGGATTTATGGTACTAGTTTGTGTACTGGTGGTATTTGTTGGATAAATATGAGTCAAATTCTTGGAAGGTGATGACATTGTATGGTACCTAAACAACACATGCATCGTATGCATGACCCATATGATTCCTCAACAATTGAGCAAGCGAGGGACAGTATAGATGCATCTACTAGTATGTTTCAATAATTCATTATTTCTGCTTTTACTTGGTGCCACGCATGCCGTATGATGACTGCATATTTTTTTATAACATCGTTGTGTTGGTGATCACCACATGGTGGTAAAATACCTGGTACCGTCATACCCCGGATATAAGCGCCACCCTCGGATAAGCACCTGGCACTTTTAATTGGCGCATGGCGCTTATATCCGCTGCTAGATTATAAGCGCACCCCCCTGAAAAAAACTTGTTTTATTATAAGCGCACGTAAGCTTTAAATTTTGAATGTGTTCGAAACACTGCAACGATTTCTACTTTAGCAGGGGGATGTGTTGCAGATTCGCTTCCCTTCACATTCGGACCCTGCACTGGATGCGGGTCCAGTCAGCAGGAGCAGTCAGGAGCTGTCAGAAGCTGTCAGAAGCTGTCAGGAGCTGTCAGAGTGGGTGTATCTCCAGCGCGCGCGAGAAATTTCACAGAACTTCGACTCGATTGAAAAAGGCAAGCACGAGATCTACAGCTTGGTGTTAAAAAATATATAAATTATATACCGTATGTCGTTTTATAAACGCCGGCGCTTATAAATTTACTCGATTATAAGCCCACCCCCCTAAAAAAGCCTGCTTTATTATTGCCCCCCATGGGGGTATATCCGGGGTATGACGGTACATGTTGCTGTAAGGAATACATAAAGATAACAAGTTCGTATTACGCTTCGTCAACTTGTTATGCTTTTGCGAGGCCAGCCACAATCGGCCCATCCATTCTCAAGCTGCATCCAGGTCGTTCGGTCTCCATTGTCTCGAGATTCCCTAGGTCATAACTGAGGCTTGGGGTATCGCAGCGCACTCACCGAAACTCTCGAGGAAATGACAGACCGCCGTGTTTTCTAGTTTCCAATTCCAATGGGCAGTGGCTTTGACAGCGCATCGCTCCGCGCTCGCGTCCAATATCTTGGGGCATATTTTTTCTCCGTTTCCCCATTTGAGTCCACAAATACATGTTTTTTTATGTTACGGGATATTCGTCGAGTCCGTTAAAAAAAACAAACGCGCAGCTCAGGACAAAAAAAATAAAACCCTCATGGATGGTATGCCACGTAGGGGGCATCAACCCTAAACACCATGAGGCAAGGTGTTTAGGGTTGATGCCTCCCAAATGGCTTGTCATCCGAGTGGGTTTTAGTTTTTCCACTGGCCTCATACTGAAACCAGGTAGACTTAGTATTTGCCCTTCTGTTCGTTTGGTCACGAAAAATGGGAAATTGCAATAAAAACTGCCCGCGGGAATTGGGCGCGAGCGCGGTCGGGGTCGCTGTCAAAGCCACTGCCGAAAGGAATCGAAAACGCGCAAACACGGCGGTCCGTCATTTCCTCGAAACTCTCGGTGAGTGCCTCGCTCCCAGCGTTCCGTACCAACCAAATTTCCCGCCTTGCTCTTTCCCAGCCGCACTTACATGATTGCGGAAGAAACCTTGTTTACGAATGAATCAGTTCCACTTGTTCAAAACCCCACTACGCTAGAATGAGCCTCGGCAATAGGCCCGCCGGCTTCCGAGCCTACCCCGTTTCCCGCGTTTCACATTTTTTTTCCGAGCCGCACTCGTACTCCCGATTGAAACGGACAGCATTGCGTGCTCCAGTGGGATCTCTCCACGCTGTCACATGAAGCACATGTGTCGCGTTCTGAGTCGTCCCTGCTCAACAGGACAGCGCTGCGACAAGTTGGCCCGTCTACGGCGTGGCCATGGGCTCCGAGCACAGCCCATCTTCTACCCAAAAGAAAGCCAAACCACATGCGACAAATTCGTGGAGCTGCCTCGTACCCACGGCCTCCCTCTCACCCCCTCCATGCCTCTCGCCGCACCCCCTCCATGCCTCTCGCCGCATTCCGTTCCTGCTTCGGCCTCACACCCCAATCTCGCCTCCCATCAGACCCCTCAATCCAGCAGCCGGGAAAAGGTATAAAGAGCGTAGGGGGTTTCATTTTCCGTTCATCAATCAGTTCTGTGAATCATCGCCCAGCCCCAGCTCCTAAAGTTCCCTGATATTCGCAAGGCGTCGGTTCCTGCAGTTTAAACCTTCGAGTGCTCTACATCAGTCTTCAAAGCTTCAAGCTTCTTAGCCAGTCCGTCTTCCCTACCACGACCATCAACGACATGGCCTGCATCGTTGCTGAGCGTGCCTGCGTGGACGTCGACGCTCTCTTCTCGAGCTGCTGGGAGCAGAATGCTTCCCTCGCTCGCTATGTTTGCAGCCTGGCCTCTCTCCCGTCCGTGGTAAGAACAACTTCGCACCTTCCCGCTTCTCCGTTGTATACGTATTTTGCAAATTGCTTCTTTTTTTACCAATTCAAGGTCACTTCTGTAGCACATACCAACACGGATTTGTGTTGAAATTTGGCAGGTCGACTTCCAGCGGAGCAGGTCAAACGATCAATTCGTGAGCGAGACTCCTGCTGCCGACCTAGAGGCCGCTGCTGTCATTGTTGAAGCGTCTGCCATCAGTGTCAACGCTCTTGATGTCAAGGCTGCTGTTGTCAACGCTGCTGCTGTCAACGCTGCTGCTGTCAACGCTGCTGCTGTCAACGCTGCTGCTGTCAACGCTGCTGCTGTCCACGCTCCTGCTGTCCACGCTCCTGCTGTCAACGCTGTCGCTGTCAATGCTGCTGGTGTCAACACTCCGGCTGTCAACACTCCAGCTGTCCGAGCTCCTGCTGTTGAGGTCATGGCTGTTGCTATTGGGATCGCGGATCCAGCTGAATCCATTGAAACTGCTGACTGCTCAGCTGGGGACGCGCCATGGTTGGGCGTGGAATCAGAGGTGGGAGCTCCTTCATTTCCGGTCGAAAAGGCAGAGCGTGGCGTGAAGGTGGGAGCAGAGGAGAGCAACGGCTGCTGCAGGATGAGTCGCAGTGAGAGCAGCTGCAGCAGCCACAGTGCGTGCTTGATTGAGCTTCCCTGGGATAGCTGCAGCTCCCACTCCTCTGCTCTCCGTGACCTTGACTCCTTTGCTGACAGCTATGGCAGCAGCGGCACAAACTTCATGGGTGTGCACATGGGGATTGGCAGAGGTTTCTGCAGTAGTGGAAAGGGATGGAGCATAGAGGCGAAGGGTGCTGGGCAGCCAGTGGGAAAAGGCGAGTTTCCAAATCAGCTGTTTGGGGATGGTGATGAGGAGGGTGAAGGTTACAGCGACGTCATATTTGATGGGAAAGGGAGCGTGAGTAAGGGGATTGGGCGAGGCTTTTGCAGTAGTGGGAAGGCATGGAACAAGGGGGCGAAGGATGCTTGGGAGTTGTTTGGAAACCAGCTGTTTGGGAATGAAGAGGAGGAGGATGAGAGTTACAGCAGCCGGGGCTTGGGATTGGGTGGGAAGGAGAGCATGTGCTACATGAACCAGCTGTACATGGATGAGGAAGAAGAGGAGGAGAGGAGCTGCCCGGCAGCAACAGGGATTTCAGTTGGCATCGGCAGGTTTGGTGCTCGGCGGAGAATAACCGGCTATAGCAGCCGAGTCACCCTCCGGAGAATGAGTGCATCTCTAAGACAGTTCTAGTGTAGATTGGTAGTATAAATGCATCCTGTGAAGGCATTAGTTAGCATCTGTGGTCGGAACCAGACGCACTGGACGACCACTCATGGTGTAATATAGGCCGGTGTTTTCCCCAAATATGATTTGGAATGCGAGGTCGTTATACACAGAAAGAGACGTCCAAGAATCTGAGGTGGTACTCAATCAGGCCCTCAGATTTGTGATTGAGCTGTCTGATTTGTCAGACCTAAAACACAGTTTTAGGCTGATTGAAGCACACTGTAAGTGAAGTAAGGCTTCACTGTGGATTGTTTATACAGTATTACGAAATGGACATCGCACTAGACAGTGACAGGTAAAGCCAGGAATGTTTCCAATTCGATGAGACCCAAGGTACTTGGCTGACTCCCATGTTTGGCAGAGACTAATCCTCAACATGGCGATGGCTTCCAGAGAGATGACATCGTGTGCATTGTTGCGGTAGGCCAACAACACCGAATCGTTACTCGGTGTGCCATAAATATCTGACCATCAGTCTGCCAGCTCCAGTCCGACTCATACAGGAGGTTGGTTGGTTGGGATGGGAAGGCCCAGCCAGAATCTCAATTGGTCTTGCTGGAGACACAATTTGAATCCTCCTTTGTGTTTGAACCAACCCCACCAGTCTCAATCCTGCCAGCTCCAGTCGGACTCATACAGCAGGTTGGTTGGGCAGGCCCAGCCAGAACCAAGGTTGGTCTTGCATGTGCGAGTCCTGATTGAAACCTCTTCCATGTTTCAACCACTCCCCACCGCTCTCAATCCCGCCAGCTCCAGTCAGACTCATAGAGGCGGTTGGGCAGCCCCAGCCAGAACTTGAGCGCCTCGAAGCCGCGTGACCCCGGGAACTCATTGGGAGCAGCGGTGGTGGTGGAAGAGAGGGAGGAGAGGGAGGAGACGGTGTGGAGGCGGCGCAAGGAAGCTAATACAACATCAGTCCCGCCAGCTCCAGTCAGACTCATACAGGCGGTTGGGTAGGCCCAGCCAGAACTTCAAGGCCTCAAAGCCGCGTGACCCCGGAAACTCATCGGCACCAGCGGTGGTGGTGGAGAGGGAGGAGAGGGCACGGTGGCGGCGCGAGGAGAGGGAGGTGATGAGCATGCGCTTGTACTTGAGCTTATCAGGTGCCAACCCTGCCCTCTCCATTGCCCCCACCACCTCCAGTGCTCGCTGTAAGGTTGGGTTGTGCCAGAGAGGGGGGGAAGGAGAGGGAGGTGATGAGCATGCGCTTGTACTTGAGCTTTTCGGGTGCCAGCCCTGCTCTCTCCATCGCCCCGACGACCTCTAGTGCGCGCTGTGAGAGGGAGAGGGGAGAGGGGAGAAGGAGCGGTTTAGAGAAGAGAGCAATTGCCAGGGAGGAGGGCGCTGGTGATGATAAGAGGCACGCACCCATAAGTGTTGAGGTAAGTAGCAAGGGGTGCGAGAGAGGTGAGTGACGGAGAGAGGTGAGTGACAAGCAGAGCAGAGGTTTAGAGGGAGAAAGTCATAGAGTGTGAGAGACAGGCATGGGAAGAGATCCTTACCTGGAAGTACCCGGCCGGCATGAAGATGAGCATGAGCCCATCCACTACCGCCTCATCCGTGTTGAGGCACGTGACAAGGAGAGGCAGAGCGCGAGAGAGGCAGAGCGCGAGAGAGGCAGAGCGCGAGAGAGGCAGAGCGCGAGAGAGGCAGAGCGCGAGAGAGGCAGAGCGCGAGAGAGGCAGAGCGCGAGAGAGGCAGAGCGCGAGAGAGGCAGAGCGCGAGAGAGGCAGAGCGCGAGAGAGGCAGAGCGCGAGAGAGGCAGAGCGCGAGAGAGGCAGAGCGCGAGAGAGGCAGAGCGCGCGAGAGGCAGAGCGCGAGAGAGGCAGAGCGCGAGAGAGGCAGAGCGCGAGAGAGGCAGAGCGCGAGAGAGGCAGAGCGCGAGAGAGGCAGAGCGCGAGAGAGGCAGAGCGCGAGAGAGGCAGAGCGCGAGAGAGGCAGAGCGCGAGAGAGGCAGAGCGCGAGAGAGGCAGAGGGGGAACCCATACCTGGAAGTACCCGGCCTGCATGAAGATGAGCATGAGCCCATCCATCACTGCCTCGTCCACACACACCCCTGCTGTCCCCGCCTCCCCTGCTCCTCCCGCCACCCCCCTTGCTGCTCCTCCCGCCACCCCCCTTGCTGCTCCTCCCGCCACCCCCCTTGCTGCTCCTCCCGCCACCCCCCTTGCTGCTCCTCCCGCCACCCCCCTTGCTGCTCCTCCCGCCACCCCCCTTGCTGCTCCTCCCGCCACCCCCCTTGCTGCTCCTCCCGCCACCCCCCTTGCTGCTCCTCCCGCCACCCCCCTTGCTGCTCCTCCCGCCACCCCTGCTCTCCTCCCTGTTGCCACCCTCACCCCTCTCCCTCTCCCTCCACCGCTGGCCCCTTCACCTGCTTGCTCCCACCCGCTCCTCACCCACTCCCTCGCCCCACGCACTCCAACCACCTCCACCACTCCGCCCTCCTCCCCCTCACTCTCCCCCATCCCTCCCTCCTCCTCTTCGCTCCCGCTCCCTCCTGTCTCACCACGCCCCTCCCTCCTTTCCCCCATCAGTTCCCACCTCCCCTCTCCGCCCTCCACTCCCTCCAACCCCAATCTCTCCTCCCCATGACTGCCCGCCGCCCCCACCAATCGCTCCTTCAAGTCACGCCACAGCACCAGCGCCTCCCCCGCCCTCTCGGCTGCTGCCAGCGCTCGTGCCCACCAGGCTGCCATAGGTGGCTGGCGTGGGGGCAATCGAGGCTGCCTGCAGGCGGGAAGGAAGGGAGAGGTGTGCAAGGGGGAAGGAGAGAAAGGAAGGTTCATCCATCATTTGCTCCTTCAAGTCACGCCACAGTACCAGCGCCTCCCCCGCCCTCTCGGCTGCTGCCAGCGCTCGCACCAGAGCGCCGTATGTCGCAGCCATGGGGGCAATTGAGGCTGCCTGCACGTGGAAAGAAGGGAGGCAGGGGTGCGTGCACAAGAGAGTTTCATTCATGTGCTGCAGGCGTGCCTCTCCCCTGCCCTCCCTGCTGCTGCCAGTGCGCTGCGCACATGAGATACCAAGCCCATTATAAGGAGACAGTGGACACATGGTGGCAACGGCGGACGGATGGGGAGGAGGGGGGAGGGAAGGAAGGCTTGAGAGGCATGCCCACCTTGGCTCGTTGGTACAGACTCCACGCCTGGTCCACCAGCCCTGCCTAAGGTGACTTTTGGGCCACTCAAAAGACACATGGTACCCACCTTGGCTCGCTGGTACAGACTCCATGCCTGGTCCACCTATCCCGGCCTAAGGTGACTCTTGGGTCCACTCAAAAGACACATGGTACCCACCTTGGCTCGCTGGTACAGACTCCATGCCTGGTCCACCTATCCCGGCCTAAGGTGACTCTTGGGTCCACTCAAAAGACACATGGTACCCACCTTGGCTCGCTGGTACAGACTCCACGCCTGGTCCACCAGCCCCGCCCCAAGGTGACTGCTAAGTTCATTCAACAGTCTCATCACGCATGAGAGGCACCTGGAATGTGGGGGAATACGCATGCCCTACCCAGTGCCCAGTGCCCACTGCCCACCTTGGCTCGTTGGTACAGACTCCACGCCTGGTCCACCAGCCCTGCCCTCGCCTGCGAGTCAATCACCGCGCCCCACGCCGCTGCATCCACCCGCAACTCCTCTCCACCGCTAACCACTGCACCTCCTCTCCCTCCCACACTCCCCCCACCACCCGCTCTCCCTCCCAACCGCACTCCACCGCTCCCAGCCTCGACAAGCATCTCTTCAAACACAGAAAGAGCACGAGCAGGGTCGGCATCAGGGGCGTGGCCGAGGGCTGTGATAAGAGCAGTATACACCTGCACTGTTGGCGCTATGCCTTCCCTCCGCATGCGCGCAAACCACTGCACTGCTGCCTCTGCCCCGCCCCACTGCATCGCCCCTCTGCTCCGCTCAGCCTCCGCCCGGCCCCCCTCTGTCTCTACCCTGCTGCTGTTGCTGCTGAAGCTGAAGCTGTTGCTACTGCCGCCGTTTCTCTGTGCTGACATGCCAGTTCCGCTGGTAAGGCTGCTGCTGCCGTCGCCTGCACCAATGCTGATCGCCGCACTGCTGCCTGCATTTCTCTCATAAGGGCCAGGAGCACCCTGAGGCAGCAAGCCAGCCCCAGCAGCAGCAGCGCCACTAACAGCATCACTCTGAGCACTCCATCTCGCCGGACCCTGCCCTTTCCATGCACCCGCCCTGCCACACGCCGCAATGATGGTCGCAAACGTCGCAGCATTGGGCCGCACGCCCCACACAGCCGCTCCACGGGGGATCGCACCCTCAGAAGCACCCTGAGAGGCGTCAGCAGCCTCCCCAGCAGCGCGTGCAGCAGGGGACGGCGTGCCTTGCACCAGCCGCTGCTTCCTAGCACCTGTACCTCCACCACACCCCATCTCCCTCAGTAGCGCCTCTACCTCCCGCATCTGCCCGCGGTCGCAGTGGGCTTTGACCAGCACGTTCAGCACGGCAGTGTTGCCCGCCACACCCCGCGCCCGCATCTCCTCTAATAGCTGCCTCGCTGCCATCACTGCCAAGTCATCAAGGTTGCTTGCACCTGCCATCACTGCCAGGTCGTCCAGGTTGCTTGCACCTGCCATCACTGCCAGGTCGTCCAGGTTGCTTGCACCTGCTAGGTCCTCACTGTTTTCCCTCGTTGTCAGATTGCTAGAGCCTGTCCGGACCACCATTCTGTCGCTGCTGCTGCTCCCGGCCAGCACACCAGCACGGTCACTCCCCAGCCCCTGCTGCTCTAGCGCCTCCCCCCTGCCTGCGCCTGCCTCACTCCCAGTGCCACTAAGGCTTCCAGTGGCATGAAGGCTGGCAGTGGCATTGAGATTCGTAGCGGCGCTAACACTCTCCCTGCCTGCACCTGCATTGCTGGGCCCTGCGGCCTTCCACACGCTTGGCTTCCTGAGAGATGCCACGGCTCCCCGCGAATCCACACAGTCAGCAGCAGCAGGAGCAGCAGCAGCAGCAGCAGCAGCAGCTGAAGCAGCGGGTGCAGTGGCAAGTGGGGGCAGAGCTGGGGGCATGCTGCCAGCAGCGGCTCCAGGAGCAGGGATGGGGGCGGCAGCAGCGGCAGAAGCAGCAGCAGCGCGGGCAAGGATGGGAGCGGGGATGAGGTGCGGCGGCGAGGAGACGAGCGCGTGCATGAGTGTGGCGTATGTGATGTGGTTGGGGGATGTGTCCCGCCGCTGCTTCATGCGCTCAAACCACTGCGCATCGGTGGTGGGGGAAAGAGGAGGGAGGTGGGGGAGAAGTTAGAGGGAAAACCAGTGGCCATGAGGTGCGGCGGCGAGGAGACGAGCGCGTGCATGAGCGTGGCGTACGTGATGTGGTTGGGTGCGGTGTCTGGTCGCTGCTTCATGCGCTCAAACCACTGCGCATGAGGTCTCCAGAAGCAACGAGTCCCTTGATGAGGATGGAGAGCATACGCATATTGGGCCCTACCCATATTGAGTCGCCTTGAAAGGCGCGCCTCAACAGACGCACCTCAAACGCGGCAGTCAAGTCTCCAGAGGCGACGAGTCCCTTGATGAGAATGGAGAGCATACGCACGTTGGGACCCATCCCCACCCTCCGCTTCCCACTCTCCTCTTCCTGCGCCCCCTCCACCCCCCCCTGCCCCTGCCCCTCCCCCTCAGCCTCCCCCGCCCCAGCCTGCTGCCCCTCCCCCTCCCTTTCCCCCCGCGCCTCCCCCAGGTCCCACATGGTCTGCACGAGCGCCTGTGCCTCCCCCATCATGCCACACGCCACATACCCCGCTACCACTGAGTTGAACGATGCTGCATCTGGCTGCACGCCCTGTGACTGGAAGGTGGGAGGGGGAAGGGGAACACGGAGGAGTTCGAGAGGGTGTGAGGTGGTGCTATGCGGTAGTGAAGCCCATGAGCCTCCCCCATCATGCAACACGCCACGTACCCCGTCATCACCGAGTGGAATGATGCCGCGTCTGGCTGCGCGCCCTGCGACTGGGGGAGGTGGGAGAGAGGGAGAGGATTCAGACTGGGTATGAGGTGGTGCTGTGCGGTGGGAGGCCCATCGTGCCACACGCCACGTACCCCGCCACCACTGAGTTGAAGGACGCCGCGTCTGGCTGCACGCCCTGTGACTGGGGAGGTGGGAGAGAGGGAGAGGGTGAGAGGAAGAGAGATGAGTCAGACAGGGTATGAGGCAGTTCTATGCGGTAGTGAGGCCCAGGAGTCCCATCATTCCGCACGCCACATACCCCGCTACCACTGAGTTGAACGACGCTGCATCTGGCTGCACGCCCTGTGACTGCAGGGTGGTGGATGGGGATGGAAGGATGGGGGTGCGAGGAGTCAGAGAGGGGGTGCGATGCTGCATGTGGCTGAACGCCCTGAGACTGGGCGGTGGTGTTAGAGTCGGACGTGAGCGGGACGGGAGGGAGGGGCGACGGGGTGCAGCGCAGTTACAAGGGACACGTTGAGAGTTGCACAGTTGAGGAATGCCCTGTGCAACTCAACACCACACCCCTCACCGGCATCTGCCTCAGCAGCTTGAGCACTCTCTCGGGCACGTCCTGAGACAAGCTCATGGGGTTGTCACATGTATCACTGGCTACTTGATGACGATGCCCCATGCCATGCCCTGCCATAACCCCCCATGCCACGCCACACTCACCAGCAGGTGCCTCACCATCATGTGTCTCAGCAATTCATGCGCCCTCTCTGGCATGCCCTGTGCCGCGCGCCCTTTGATGAGAATGTTGAAGCTGATGGCATCGGGGGTCACGCCCGCCCCCGCCATGCCATGTGCTGCCCAATGCCCTCCCCTGCGCACTCCAAGCCACGCCACACTCACCATCATGTGTCTCAACAGTTCATGCGCCCTCTCAGGCATGCCCTGTGCAGCGCGCCCCTTAATCAGGATGTTGAAGCTGATGGCGTCGGGGGTCACGCCCGCCCCCGCCATGCCCTCGCCCAGCAGCCGCTCCGCCAATGGGAGGTCGCCAGCTGTCACCGCCGCATTGATCGCCGCGTTGAAGGCTGCTGTGTCTGGGCGCATATGTTGGGCGCTCTGGGGGGGAATGGTGGGGGGCCGAGGGGGCGCATAGGGAAGGGATAGAGGGGAAGAAAGGAGTTGAAGGCTGCTGTGTCCGGGCGCATGTGGGGGGCGCTCTGAGGCGAGAGTGGGGGGAAAGAAGGTTTGAGGGGGGGATAGGGGGCGCAGGGGCCGGCATACAGGGTTGAAGGCTGTTGTGTGGTGGGCATGTGGGGACGCTTTAGGGAGGAATGAGATAGGGGGTGTGATGCGTGTGCTGAATGGGTGAAGGCACCTTGGCAGACAGCAGCGCCACAGCAAATCCCTGAAAAGCCTCGAGGATCCCAGCATCCCACGCACCTTGGCAGCAGCGACGTCGCAGCAGTCCCTGAAGAGCCTCACAGCAGCAGCGGCGAGCGCGGGGTCTCGCCCCATGCGGCTCACCACGGCGCTCCACACCGCCACGCGCGGCAGGTGCCCCTCGCGCAGCATCTGCGCCAGCAGCTCCGCTGATGGGCGGGCGGAAGGGGAGAGGAAGTGGGGAGGGGACACGGGAGAGAGCTGAGGGGGAAGAGGCTGGGTCATGGAAGAGAGGCGAGAGAGGGGAGAGGATTGCTGTGCCTGAAAACACCATGGTGCTCTGACATCACGTGAGGAAGGAGCTTCGGTGACGGAGGAAGGGGGAGCGGAGGCGGAAGAGGGAGAGCGACAGGCCTTTGCTCACCGGCGTCAGCCGCACAGCCGCTGCGCGCCGCTGCCATCACAGCGAGCCCGAACGCGTCTTCATCCACCTGCACCTCTCTGAACACCTCTCCACTCCCTCCAGCACCACTCCCGACCGCACTCCCCGCCGACCACTGCTGCTCCCACGATCCCCCCCGCTCTGGCTGCGCCTCTCCGCCCGCCTGCCCCCCCATCTGCGCGCGGCACACCTCGTCGATCAGGCGCTTCGCCTTGCGCCACTGCCCGCGGAGACTCAGTTGCGCGACCGCGCGGCTCCAGCAGCGGCTGCCCGCCCACCGGCCCGCCTGCCGCTCCCGCCACAGCAGTCTCACCGCGTCGTCCGTGCGCCGCTCCGCCAGCGCGCGCGCAATCTCCGCCTCCTCGTCCTCCGCCACGCGCTCCAACGCCCGCTGCTGCGCCCACACCTCCGCCTGTACCGCGGGCGGGCGGGACGCGCGATGGCGCTGGCGCGGGCGCTGCGCGGGCATGCTGGCGGCGGCCGCCATAACGGACGACAGCGAAGGAAGCTCATCTGCGCTCCCGCGGTATGCGGCCCGCTCGTTCCCCCCACTCTCGCCCCTTCCCCTCCCACTACCCCTGCTACCACTATCCCCGCTGCTCCTCTCCTCAGACTCCCTCCCCGCGCCATCTGCTTCTCCGCGACCTTCCGAAGCGGGGGAGCGCGCGCCTGGCGGATCTGCGCGGCTGGCGCGTGGCGGATCTGACTCTTCGAGCTGCAGCGCGCGCAGCTCGTCGCTGTAATCCGGGCGACGACTCAGCGGAACCGTCCTCTCGCGCGCCGTCTCGGCTCTTTCCTGCCACTCCGCCTGCTTCCGCTGCTGCCGCTCCTGCTGCCGCTGCTGCTGCCGTTGCTGCTGCCGCTGTTGCCGCGACTGTCCCTGTCTTCCCCTCGTTCCTCTCTCCCCAGCCCCGTCGACGATACTGCTATCGCGGCGAGGGTCGAAGGAATCGGGAGAAGGGGAGAGGGGGAAAGGGGAGGCGGAGCAGGAAACCCGCGCGGAGAGTCGGCGGGAAATGCCAGCGGAAAGCGTGGTGGCGGAAGTCATGACGTGCGCGGTAGGCGGAAGCGGAACCGCGAGGTGCGAAACGAGAGGTCTCGCGAGTTGCGTGAGGGGAAACGGATCTGCTCGAGCCATCGCGCTCGATGCTCTCTTAGCAATCCTGCTGCGATGGTAACCGAAATTGTTTACTCTAGGACCTAGATTCCCTCTCGAAGACGACTGGCGGACACTCCCACGCGTAGGTACTAGCGCGCGCGTAGCAACGCAAATACGAATCGCACGGCTGACGGACGAAATCAGATTAAATGCGTCGAGGCGCTCTCACTCTCGCAATGCAGCTTCACTAAAGCCTGGTCCACGTCTCAAGCGAATCCTCGAGTCCTCGCTAATCCAGGCGCGAGGCATTCGCCACTGACTGCGAGGGCAATCCGAGCGATAATCGAACCTACGAAGGCAATGTGCGCGACGATCGAGAGCTAATGGCGAACGAGACGAAAACCTCTATTGTCGATGAAAAGAGAGCGACCAGTCCGCGTTGTAGGGTGGCCAGTCAGCGTCGACAGGAGGAGGGAGTTCCAGATCGATAGCTTCAAGGCATGACCCAACCCAATACACGCACAGTGCGTGAAACACCACGATCAAAAATGTTGGTGGGTGGGAGGAAGAGTGGAGGTGCTGTCGATCTCAAGTTTGCAACGTGGTTGGACGCGTCTAAGAGAGTTGTAGTTCGGTGGCGAGTCGCTCGACATTGCCAGTCTCCCAACCCCAACGGTTGTCATTAGGGAGGGAAGGAGGGAGTGGGAAGGGGAAGGAGCGAGCATCCTTTTTCTACGGTACTAGTCGGTAAAAACATACAAAACACGGTTGAATCTGGTGTGCGTCGGTATAGCAGATTCCTAACGTCACAATGGCCGTGGCAAGGCAGAAAGATTCACGATGGCGGCACGGAAAAGGGTGAATGTCACCACGTTACAAGGCGAAGGGGTGGCGTCGAGGGAGAGTGGAATGAACACGTTGTTGCCACGGAGGCCAAACGCGTGGCACGTGATGATGAGAGGGGTAGGACGAGCTGGCAGGCCAAAAGTTCGGTGAAACACAAATCAAAATCTGGTGGAACTGACCCCGGTATTCGTTAATATGAGACAGCTTTGCTAGCAGATCGTAAAATGCAATATAATAGTTCAAGGCGAGACAAGATGAAGATTGAAAATACTGGAAACTGAAAGAACAAATAGATATGCATAGAGAAACATTCTTAAATAAAATTCTAATTTTTAATAACACATTCGCATGACCAATTCTTGAGCATGCCAGTATGCAAATTAGTGTAGCATAAACTAGACCTTCCCAAACTGTTTGCAAATGTAGATGCAAGATTCAAGTATTCAAGTAACCGGGAGCATTCTGAGCAACCCGCACTGCACGTACATCACACCGCCCGGCCACGGCTTCCTGCCGCGCGAGACCGCCGCGCACCACCAGCAGAAAATCCTACCTCTCGTGGCGCGCGCGCTGCGCGAGGTGCGTGTGCAACAGTGCGGCAGCCCACTGTTACTGTTGGGCAGCCGCACAGTGCCAACCCACCGGCTAGTGGGAGGCTGCAAACTCCCAAACCACGCAAGGTTGGGATTGGTCAGCCTCCCCTCCCAGCATTTGGGCGCCCACCTGAAGACACGCAGCCCAAACCACACCCTCGCACGAAAATTACGAAACGCAGAAAAGTCAAGTTTCGACCCCTCGCCGACTTCGCCAACGGTGCCGACGAAATTACAGCCCCGTAACCAAGCTCATCGCCCAATCCCGCATCGCAATCAATCTCTGAATTTCACGGCAAGGTTCATTTCAAGGGGTAGAGTTACCAATAAGAAATTCAGAGTGCCGCGACTTGGTAGTGCGACTCAATTTGTGAATGCATCCTATAAAATTGTGTGTGAAATTTGTTGAAGTCATAGTGCAATTTCCAGAGAATTCCAGAGAGCACTCTATACTCTTTTTCCAAGCCTACTAAAGCAGCTACCTCTCTGCTTAGCTCGTTTCACTGGTATCAGAGCCTAGTTAGTTATTTCGCACGCTCCTGCCATATTCTAGACCCTATGGCTGGGCCGTCGGATATGACGCCGGAACTCTGGAATGAGTTTGTAGCCAATATGCGCCGAGAGATTGAACGCGAGGTGCGTGACCGGATTCTCGGCGAACTCCAGGAACGTGGACTCCTGGGCACACAGGTGCCGGCGCCAGCACCTGCTGTGGTTTCTGGACGACCCAAAGCACCCGAACCTGAACCGTTCATCCCTGGAAAACGTCACTTACCGGTGCGACGGTGGCTTTTCCAAGTGGAGGAATACCTTTCCCTTTGTCATGTCAACCGGACGGAGTGGGCTCGGTACGCCGACATGATGCTGCGAGAAGCTGCTGCTACTTGGTGGCAGAGCTGCCACGCTACAATTTCAACATGGGAAGAATTTTCTGCATCGCTCTTAATGAACTTCGAACCGGTCAACGCCATCGAGCGCGCACGTGACAACCTTTGCCGATTTACGCCAACACCGCTCGGTCGCTGAGTACATCAATCGCTTCCGCGAGCTCGTGATTGCGATTCCTGACATCCCTGCTGCTGAACAGATGGACAAGTTCAAGCGTGGGCTGAAGCCGAAAATCCGCACCGAGGTTGAACTCCGTGGCGCTGCGACGTTGGATGAGATGATTCGTGTCGCCGAGCGTTTTGACACCATCAACTTTGCAGCGTACCAGCGATTCCAAGGACGAACCAGTCAGCACACCACAGCTGGACCTACTACCAACCGCATCAACGGTCCTACTCCCATGGAGCTCGGTGTGGTGGACCAGCGCACACGCAACCAATCCACGCTTACATGCTACTCGTGCGGGAAAGTCGGCCACATCAAGCGACACTGCCCGAACCGCCGCAACTTCGAAAGGTCTCCGGGAAACGGACAGCGCCAGTAGCAGTGGGGCAGACCTCTGGCGCATCGCATGCCCCGCTTCTCCCCACCCCATTATCCATCGGCACCTCTGAACTCTACACCACATTAAACTCCCCATTCCCCGCTATCATTCTATGGGAAAAAATAAAGGACTGCTATGTTGACTTTCTACTCAATACCGGCGCTTCAGCCAATTTCCTCTCTCCCTCTATTGTGGCTGAACTTTCTCTTCCCGAAGATCCCAACAGCAACCCACAGGACGTCATCATGGCAGATGGTACTCGGCGACGCTGCGGCCCTACTCTCCTCCCCGTGCACTGCATGTTCGGAAGTCTGGAGGCGACGGTCACGTTCGAGCAAATGCACCTCGGCGGCTATGAAGGCGTGCTCGGACGACCGTGGTTGTACCAGCTTGGACCGCGAATTTATTGGCGTAACGCAACGGTCACCGTCGGCAACTACGACCTCCCATCACGCTCCTACCGCCGCCCATGGTCATCCCCAACAACTTCAGCATCATCAACCCATCCACCCCAACCTGCCCCACCTCCATCCTCCCATATCCCCCCTCTCCCTCCTCCTCGTATAACCCCCGTGCAGCAGCCAACACCACCCGGCTCTCCCAAAGTGATCAACACACCTCCTCCTTCCCCACCCCACCCAACCCAGCAGCCACGTCATTACCTCTTCCGCCCCTTCTCTGAAGTTATCAATCCACCAGCCCCCACCCCTCCTTCACCACCTCCTCCTCATCATCTCCTAGTCATCTTCACGGCTCCCGAATCTGAAGCATCAGCTACCCCTCTGCCACCAACCATACAAAATCTGCTCAATGGTTATACGGACGTGTTTCCTGATGATCTACCCGCCGAACTTCCACCCGAACGTGCTATTGACCATAGCATCCGCCTCATTCCAGGTTCTACACCGCCCGTGCGCCCAACCTATTGAGTCGCCTTGAAAGGCACACCTCAAAAGGCGCACCTCAACAGACGCACCTCAAACGCTGCAACGAGGTCTCCAGAGGCGACTAGCCCCTTGATGAGAATGGAGAGCATACGCACGTTGGGCCCAGCCCCCACCCTCCGCTTCCCACTCTCCTCTTCCTGCGCCCCCTCTGGCCCCCCCTGCCCCTGCCTCTCCGCCTCCCCCGCCCCAGCCTGCTGCCCCTCCCCCTCCCTTCCCCCCCGCGCCTCCCCCAGGTCCCACATGGTCTACACGAGCGCCCGTGCCTCCCCCATCATGCCACACGCCACATACCCTGCAACCACTGAGTTGAACGACGCTGCATCGGGTTGCACGCCCTGCGCCTAGAAGGCAGAAGTGGGAAGAGTTGGAAGTAGGAGTGGGGGGGGAGAAGGGGGGGAGTTAGAAGGGAGGATTCGATTGCCTGTACTGTATGAGCCAACGTTCCCCACCATCATGCCACACGCCACGTACCCCACCACCACTGAGTTGAACGACGCCGCGCCTGGCTGCACGCCCTATGAGTGGAAGACGGGAGTGAAGGAGGGGGGTCGGACAAAAAGGGTATGAGGTGGCGCTATGCGGTAGAGAGGCCCATGAGCCTCCCCCTATGCCACACGCCACGTTCCCCGCCACCTCTGAGTTGAACGACGCTGCGTCTGGCTGCATGCCCTGTGACTGGGGGAGGTGGGAGAGGGGGAGAGGAATAGAGAGGGTTCAGACAGGGTATGAGGTGGTGCTATGCGGTGGTGAGCCCCATCATGCCACACGCCACGTACCCCGCCACCACTGAGTTGAAGGACGCTGCGTTTGGCTGCACGCACTGTGACTGCAGGATGGCGAATGGGAATGGGAGGAGCCAGAGAGGGTATGAGGTGCTGTGCTGCTATGCGATAGTGACTCCCATGACTCCCATGACTCCTATGACTCCCACGTCACGCCCGTCCCTGTCCAATGCCACACCCTGGCATGCCCTCCCCTGCGCTACCCAGACCAAACCATGCCACTCACCATCATGTGCCTCAACAGTTCGTGCGCCCTCTCAGGCATGCCCTGTGCGGCACGTCCCTTGATCAGAATGTTGAAGCTGATGGCGTCGGGGGTCACGCCCCTAATGCCCCATGCCACTGCACACTCACCATCATATGCTTTAGCAGCTCATGAGCCCTGTCAGGCATGCCCTGGGCCGCGCGCCCCTTGATGAGGATGTTGAAGCTGATGGCGTCGGGAGACACGCCCGCCCCCGCCATGCCCTCCCCCAGCAGCCGCTCCGCCAATGGGAGGTCGCCAGCTGTCACCACCGTGTTGATCGCCGCATTGAAGGCTGCTGTGTCCGGGCGCATGTGGGGGGCGTTCTGGGGGGGAATGGGGGGGGGGGGGGGGGGGGGGGGGGGGGGGGGAAGGGAGCGCATAGGGAGGGGATAGAGTGGATAGAGGGGGATAGAGGGTAAGGCAGGAGTTGAAGGCTGCTGTGTCCGGGCGCATGTGGGGCCGCTTTGGGGGAAAAGGGAAGGGATGAGGGAGGATCGAGGGGTACAGGGAGGAAACGCAAGGGGGATAGGGGGTTGAAGGCTGCTGTGTCTGGACTGGACGCATCTGGCGGGCGCTCTGAAAAATAATGGAGAGGGAATAGGGGGAGTGAAGGGGGGGAGATAGAGGAGACACATAAAGCGGGAGGGGGGGAGATAGAGGAGAAACATAGAACGGGAGGGGGGAGAGGATGGAATAGAGGGCGGAAAGAGTGCTGCAGGCTGCTGTGGGCGGGCCCAGCGCAAGTACCGCTCTGGGAGGGAAATGGTGGGAAGGGGACGGGTTGTGGTGCGTGTGAGGAATGGGTGAGGACACCTTAGCAGCGAGCAATGCACCTTGGCAGCAGCGACGTCGCAGCAGTCCCTAAAAAGCCTCACAACGGCGGTGGCGAGCGCCGGGTCGCGCCCCATGCGGCCCTGTTTTGAGTCGACTTAAGAATCAACGCACCTTGGCAGCAGCGACGTCGCAGCAGTCCCTAAAAAGCCTCACAACGGCGGTGGCGAGCGCCGCGTCGCGCCCCATGCGGCCCTGTTTTGAGTCGACTAAGAATCAACGCACCTTGGCAGCAGCGACGTCGCAGCAGTCCCTAAAAAGCCTCACAACGGCGGTGGCGAGCGCCGGGTCGCGCCCCATGCGGCCCTGTTTTGAGTCGTCTTAAGAATCAACGCACCTTGGCAGCAGCGACGTCGCAGCAGCGGCGGAACAGGTTGATGGCGACGGCGGCGAGCGCAGGGTCTCGCCCCATGCGGCTCTCTTTAGTAGGCAACTCAAGAATCGCTCACCTTAGCAGTAGCGAGCAACGCATCTTGGCAGCAGCGACGTCGCAGCAGTCCCTGAAGAGCCTCACCGCGGCAGCAGCGAGCGCGGGGTCTCGCCCCATGCGGCTCACCACGGCGCTCCACACCGCCACGCGCGGCAGGTGCCCCTCGCGCAGCATCTGCGCCAGCAGCTCCGCTGATGGGCGGACGGACGGCGAGGGGACGTGGGGGGAGAAGGGGATGCAAGGGGAGAGTTGAGGGGGGGGGGGTCATGGAAGAGACGCGGCAGGTGCCCCTCGTGCAGCATCTGCGCCAGGAGCTCCGCTGATGGGCGGACGGGCGGCGAGGGGAAGTGCGGAAGGGTCGAGGGGAGACAGCTGAGGGTGAAGACGTGGGGACATGGAAGAGAAACGCGAGAGGGGAGAGGATTTCTGTGCCTGAAAGCACCAGGGGTGCTCCAGTTGCGTGCGAGTGAGAAGTTTCGGTGACTGGAGGTAAGGTGAGCTTGCGCGGCAAGCGCAGGGCGGAGCGGCGCAAGAGGGAGGGCACCATGCGTTTGCTCACCTGCGTCAGCCGCACAGCCGCTGCGCGCCGCTGCCATCACAGCGAGCCCGAACGCGTCTTCATCCACCTGCACCTCTCTGAACACCTCTCCACTCCCTCCAGCACCACCCCCCACCGCACTCCCCGCCGACCACTGCTCCCACGCGCGCCCTCGCTCTGCCTCCCCCTCTCAGCCCGCTTGCCCTCCCATCTGCGCGCGGCACACTTCGTCGATCAGCCGCTTCGCCTTGCGCCACTGCCCGCGGAGGCTCAGTTGCGCCACCGCGCGGCTCCAGCAGCTGCTGCCCGCCCACCGCCCCGCCTGCCGCTCCCGCCACAGCAGCTTCACCGCGTCGTCCGCTCGCCGCTCCGCCAGCGAGCGCGCAATCTCCGCCTCCACGTCCTCCACCACCCGCTCCAACGCCCGCTGCTGCGCCCACACCTCCGCCTGTACCGCGGGCGGGCGGGACGAGCGATAGCGCTGGCGCGGGCGCTGCGCGGGCATGCTGGCGGCGGCCGCCATAACGGACGACAGCGAAGGGAGCTCATCTGCGCTCCCGCGGTATGCGGCCCGCTCGTTCCCCCCACTCTCGCCCCTTCCCCTCCCACTACCCCTGCTACCACTATCCCCGCTGCTCCTCTCCTCAGACTCCCTCCTCACGCCATCTGCTTCTCCGCGACCTTCCGAAGCGGAGGAGCGCGCGCCGGGCGGGTCTGCGCGGGCGGTGCGTGGCGGATCTGACTCTTCGAGCTGCAGCGCGCGCAGCTCGTCGCTGTAGTCCGGGCGGCGGCTCAGCGGAACCGTCTGCTCGCGCGCCGTCTCGGCTCTTTCCTGCCACTCCGCCTGCTTCCGCTGCTGGCGAAGTTGCTGCCGCTGCTGCTGCCGTTGCTGCTGCCGCTGTTGACGCGACTGTCCCTGTCTTCCCCTCGCCCCTCTCTCCCCCGCGACGTCGCCGAGACTGCTGCCGCGGAGAGAGTCGAAGGAGTCGGGGGAAGGGGAGAGGAGGAATGGGGAGGCGGAGCAGGAAACTCGCGCGGAGAGTCGGCGGGAAATGCTGGCGGAAAGCGTGGTGACGGAAGTCATGACGTGCGCCCGGGCGGAAGCGGAACCGCGAGATGTGTAGCGAGTGGACTCGCGAATTGCGTGAGGGGAAACGGAACTGCTCGAGTCATTGTGCTCCGGCGCCCTGTTTGTAATCTCCTGCTTCTACGGCAATCGAAATGGGTGTGTTATATCTAGGAACAGGATTCTCTCTATAGGAATAATGGAAACCCTTACGCGGTGTTACGAGCGCGGGCGTATCGAAATGCACGAGTCTCAGGGCTGACGGACAAAATCAAGGCAATGCGAGCGAAGACCGAACCTACAATGGCAATGCGCGCAATGGGACCTAATCGCGAACCCCTATGTCCTCCACTCTCTCCACTCCACTGCACGACTGAAGGCGCGACTGAAGATCGATCGTGTGGTGTGAACTTGCACAGGCCATGTGCGTTTGTTGGTGGTGGAAGTTTGCAAGTTTCACCGTGGTTGGACGCATCTTATAGGGGATTCAATACGGTGGCGAGTCACTGCCATCCTCCTCAACGGTAACCTGCGCTGGGGTGGGGAAAGGAAGGATGGATGAGCGAAATTTACCTTTTACGGTTAAGTATGGTACGGACTGTTCTAAAACGGTTCGATCGTGTGTGAATGTGAGGGCAGGATAGGGCAGCAAGGGAGGGAAAGTTGCGGCGTGGAAAAAGGTGAATATTTACAAAGACGAAGTCTAGGGAGCATCGGACAAACACGTTGCTGCCACGGTGGTCAGACGCGTGGCACGTGATGGGAGCGGTAAGGTGAGCTGGCAGGCGAAAGTTCGATGAGCCACAATCACCAACAGATGCAACCCTCTTCGCTATTTGCTACAAGAGTGAAATGTGGTTAAGAAGCTTATTCGTGACAACAATTGCTGCCATATCGCTGGTTGAACAATGCTTGAGCCGTTACTTCTCTTTTGGCAAGACCTGGACCTGGGCTGTTAACTATGTGAAATCCAGAATGGTTTGAAATTCAGAAGGGTCAAGTTCAAGTGCACCACTATTCACAATTCATTATAGATTATATTCGTGTATACGCATACGTGTTATAGATCAAATGTCGTCCATCCTCTCTTACTCCTCACTACCCACAAATGCGAACATTCGAAGGGGTGTTGAACCCGAGTAACGACTGCTTAGGGCGTGTAAAATCCCCGCACGTTATCGAAAAAGGGTTGTGGCTGAATTTACGACGACCAAATGGTCGTCGTATCCTTCGCGAACAACGACGAGGTGGCCGAATCCACGTCGACACTTTTACAGCCTCGCTTTACAACTTTTTGGATTTTACAAGTTTGAGGGCCGGTTTACAGGCCGCCTCGACAAACCTGTAAAATTTGCAATGGCCGAATTGGGCGACGGTGTCACACTGATGAACCACCAAATGGCACAACCCACAACCACTTCTGGGAGTGGGGGCTCACACACGCAATCGCGACTCCGTTTACATTCAGGCATCGTCCCATGTTTAGCCAAGCAACACGTCCCACTATAACTAGGGAACTTTCTTCCCCTCCAATCAATCGCCTACCAATGGATTCCCCTTTCACACCACGGGCGACAAGAACTCTTGCAGCAGGGGTGGTACAATGCGTAATCATGCCATGGATTGCCACCGTCAGCCTTCTCATCCCTATGCTCGTTGACTTCGCCGACGATGAAGATTATCAAATGTTCTGGCGACGTGACCGCACCATCCAGCGTGAAAGATGGATGGACCGCTTCCTTCACCTCTCGCCAGAGCATCTGTACGATGCTCTCCGGGTCGACCGGAATGTCTTCAGCTACCTCTGCCGCGCCTGGGCCGATCGTCTCATCGACACGGGGAAGAAGGCGTGCAACGTCATGCTGCACGTCGCCATGGTGCTTGTGCGGTTTGGAAGCGGGATGACATATCGTGAACTCGGCCTGCTATTCGGGTACAGTCACATCCGCGTGCATCAGGTGGTCCAGGCATGGATCGAGTTCAATAGCGACTACCTCATGGAGGAGTGGATACGGTGGCCAGATGAGGACGACATGGCGTTGTCGGAAGACGACTTCCAATTTGACAGCGGCATACCGGGGATTGTTGGAGCAATGGACGGTACGTACGTCCACACACGTGGGTGGGGACCTCATTCCGAGGAGTTCAAAAACCGCAAAAGATTCTTCAGTGTAATTTTGCAACTTTTTGTCAATGCTAATGGGTTGGTGTGGAGTTTGCTCGCCGGTTGGCCCGGCTCCGTGAACGATGCCAAAGTTTTCAATAATTCAAAAGCAAAGAGACGCATTGAAGCATGAGGCATTGGAAACAGGGTGATCGTAAGCGACGCCGCCTACGGCTTGAAGGACTATACCTACGTCCCCTACCACGCTACTCCCGGCCAGCTTCTACCCGATGCGCAGGCCGTGTGGAACAAGCAACAGTCAAGGGCCCGGATGATAGTAGAGCAGATGAACGGCCGCCTCAAAACGAAGTGGCGAATCCTCGACGGCCGCATGGAGTGCCATCGCTGCCACGTTCCCGCCACCATCGCGGCCGTTGTAACCCTGCACAACATCGAGCTTATTCTCGGGACGCCCTACCGCATGGAGGCTCCCTACCCCCGGAATCGGTGGTGGCTCCGCGGGCCTGCCGCCGACCTTGTTCACACGGGGCGGGAGATCGAAGGATTCACGGCCGTTCATCGTCGGAATCGATTTTGCGCTTACCTTTACGCGTCGTGGCGTCTTGGTCATCCCGAGATGACGCGTCCGCTTCTCGGGTACGTTCGAAGAGTTGTGTCATGGTTGCTTGAACTACCGTCGTCAGCTCCTTCGTCATCTCTCTGCAAACTTCCCGCACCCATCCGCGCTTGGCATTTCGGCGCCCTCTAGGCACCGATTCTTCTTCATCTTCGTCTTCCTCTTCGTATTCCGCCCTTGCAGACGCCGGTCCCGCCCTCGTCGTCGTACGCCCACCGCGGAGAGACCCCCCTGGACCGGCGTGTAGCGCGGATGCAGCTTTGCGTGGGCGAGGAGAGCCCCGATGACGCCGGGGTGTGGGCGTAGAAGTCGCGGGCTTCGCTGCCGCAAGGGTTGCTCGGCGCACGGGGGATTCGTCAGCCCTCATTGTAGTCGTAGGGAGGGCTGGCAGGGCGCTTTGAATGAGTCGTAGACCTGCCGAATTAGAATGGGTGGGTGTGCTATGTTAAATGTTTGTAACCATGTGGAAACAATAATGTAAGATGTGACATTGGGATCACTTACCTGAGTTTGCCCCTGCCGTACTAGTAGAAGTAGGTGTCGCTGGCGCAGCCGGCGCAGACGCTGCAGCCTTGGTACTGGTGGGTAGCTGAGTGACCGATGCGCTCTGTCCGGCGCCTTTGAGCGGTGGCGCAGGTCCGGGGATGACAGGTACGCCAGTAGGCTCTTCCATCATGTGGGTGTCGGTAGGCTCGTCAATGTTTGCAGGTGCGCTCTCTACGGGGAGGTCGTCTGGCCCACTCTCGATGATGGTGGTCGGCCGAACCGTCTCTCGGTTCAGCCAGAGCTGATCCGCCATGTCGTACCAAAGCAGACATCCTTCGGGAAGGCCCTCTCCCGAACGGGTCCACACGCCGCTCCAACGCAGCCAAGCCGCCTCCATCCGCCGCAACTTGGGACGCAGGGCGTTGACACCGTGTCGCCATGCAGCATTGCGCGCAAGGATATTGCGATGGAGCTTCACGAATTGATTCTGCCCCTGGATGCCTCGCATGCCCGACCAGTCGTCGCGCATTTCGTAACGCTCCTGCATGAGGAGCAACTCATCCTCCTTGCTCCATCGAGGCATGGTGCTCGTTGTCCGCGCGGTAGCAGTGGACGCCGTACCAGTCGACTCGACGTTGGTTCGTCCTATGTTCGGATCCAGCTCCTCGTCTTCGACTGCAGAGCAAACTTCTGGAGCTTCCTCGCCCACGCCGTAGTCGTCATCAAGGCCATACGGCGCGTCGGGGCCGGGCAAGTTGTTGACCCACCAGCTGGAGGGTCAATCCCACGGGTTGATACGGCGTGAGGACTCGCCTTGTGTCCTAATAGACGGTGGCTGGCCTTGTGTCATGAGATGCCTGGGTATCTGGACCGTCAGCGTGGTTGCCGTCAGATGAGTTGTTGTTGGTAGGGCGGTCGTTACCGCTTGATGATGCCATCTGCAATCTAGCTGTGTGCTATTCTGGATTGTGTTTGTGGCAGCCTCTGTTTGTGGTTTTTGTACTTTGGGTGAGTTGCGTTGGTGGGAAGCGGGGTGGGATGGTGTACGAATGGGTGAGCACACATGCGGGCCGCATGTCGTGCCCGGAGGCGCGTGTGGTAATTTGCGCGGCAGACCAGTGTGCCTGTTTCGTGGCACATTAACAGAGTGTCAGCGGGGCAGGTGTCACACGTTTCGTCGCAGGCAGCGAGGTGCGACGCGGTGCGACTTTGTCGCAACGACGGGCCGTTTATGTGGCCGTTTCTGAGTCGACGCGACGACGACCAATTGGTCGCCTTGTAAAGCGGCCATCAAATTGTTTTTTTGTTCGCGGAAATTCACGAATTTCGCAACTTATCGTGATGGGGTTACTTTCGCTAATTCGGCCCGACGCTTTGGGGACTTCAAAACCAGCCTGCGGATTTTACACGCCCTTATCGTTCGCCAAGTACCTTGGCTGTCGCCCTGCACGAATTCCCGGAAAAATGTAGTGCGAACATTCGCCAACAGGGGGTTTCAAGTTCAATTTCAGATTCTTGATTTGGGGCTTTAAAGTTCCTCCATAGGAAAGCTTCCCGTCGAATAATTCAGTCTGCTATTGCGGTGTGATGCCTTCGACTCACGCCCCGCAACCTCGCAACTTCAATCCTCCCACCACCCTCGTTCCTCCCCCCCGCCCCCACCCCCTAATCGCGAGTAACCTTTCCGCCACGCGCGCGCCGTCATGCTCGCACTAGGCGTGGAGGGGTCGGCGAACAAGCTGGGCGTGGGCGTGGTGCGCAGCGACGGGAGCATTCTCAGCAACCCGCGCTGCACGTACATCACGCCGCCCGGCCATGGCTTCCTGCCGCGCGAGACCGCCGCGCACCACCAGCAGAAAATCCTACCTCTCGTGGCGCGCGCGCTAAGCGAGGTGCGCGAGTGTGTGTGGGGGAGGAGGGGGGGGGGGGGGGGGGGGGGGGGGGGGGGGGGGGGTGGGGGTGGGGGGGTTCGGGCGGCTGGCTAGACGCGCCGGGTAGGATTCTCTACCACCACCAGCAGCGACGGGAGCATTCTGAGCAACCCGCGCTGCACGTAAATCACGCCGCCCGGCCATGGCTTCCTGCCGCGCGAGACCGCCGCGCACCACCAGCAGCAGATTTTGCCGCTCGTCGCGCGCGCTAAGCGAGGTGCGTGCGGGACTGCTGGCGTGCTTGCCGTCAATCCAGTACCTGCAGCACACGTGAACCCGCCCTCTCTCTCCGCCCATATGCCGCACTTGCGTGCGCCATCCCCCCCATATGCCGTCAATCCAGTACCCGCAATGCACATATGCGCTCTCCCCCGCTCACATACCCCACCCTCCACACCCCCACACACTTACACGCACCTGCATGCACTTCGTCACGTCCCTGGGAGCGATTTGCCCTTGGCCTCCGTGGCGCATGCACCCTGACTCACTGGCCTCCGTGGCGCATGCACCCTGACTCTCATGCAACGTATGCGCTCATTGCCCCTGTGCGCTCGACGCTTGCCCTCTCTCTCCCCATCCACTGATGTGGCTGCCTGTGCTGCACGTCATGCCCCATTGCATGCTCTCACGTCTTGCCCCATTGCATGCTCTCACGTCTTGCTCCATCGCATGCTCTCACATCGTGCCCCATCGCATGCTGTCACATCATGCCCCATCGCATGCTCTCGCATCATGCCCCATCGCATGCTCTCTCATCATGCCCCATCACATGCTCTCACATCATGCCCCATCGCATGCTGTCACATCATGCCCCATCGCATGCTCTCACATCATGCCCCATCGCATGCTCTCCCATCATGCCCCATCGCATGCTCTCTCATCATGCCCCATCGCATGCTCTCACATCATGCCCCATCGCATGCTGTCACATCATGCCCCATCTCATGCTCTCGCATCATGCCCCATCGCATGCTCTCTCATCATGCCCCATCACATGCTCTCACATCATGCCCCATCGCATGCTGTCACATCATGCCCCATCGCATGCTCTCCCATCATGCCCCATCGCATGCTCTCTCATCATGCCCCATCGCATGCTCTCACATCATGCCCCAGCGCATGCTCTCACATCATGCCCCATCACATACTCTCACATCATGCCCCATCGCATGCTCTCACATCATGCCCCATCGTTTGCTCTCACATCATGCGCCGTCGCATGCTCTCACGTCATGCCCCGTCGCATCATGCCCCATCGCATGCACTCACATGATGCCCTGTCGCATGCACTCACATCATGCCCCATCGCTTTCTCTCACATTATGCCCCGTCTCATGCTCTCACATAATGCCCCTTCGCATGCTCTCACATCATGCCCCATCGCATGCTCTCACATCATGCCCCATCGCATGCTCTCACATCATGCCCCATCGCATGCTCTCACATCATGCCCCATCGCATGCTCTCACATCATGCCCCATCGCATGCTCTCCCATCATGCCCCATCGCATGCTCTCACATCATGCCCCATCGCATGCTCTCACATCATGCCCCATCGCATGCTCTCACATCATGCCCCATCGCATGCTCTCACATCATGCCCCATCGCATGCTCTCACATCATGCCCCATCGCATGCTCTCACATCATGCCCCATCGCATGCTCTCGCATCATGCCCCATCGCATGCTCTCTCATCATGCCCCATCACATGGTCTCACATCATGCCCCATCGCATGCTGTCACATCATGCCTAATCGCATGCTCTCCCATCATGCCCCATCGCATGCTCTCTCATCATGCCCCATCGCATGCTCTCACATCATGCCCCAGCGCATGCTCTCACATCATGCCCCATCACATGCTCTCTCATCATGCCCCGTCGCATGCTCTCACATCATGCCCCGTCGCATGCTCTCACATCATGCCCCATTGCATGCTCTCGCATCATGCCCCATCGCATGCTCTCGCATCATGCCCCATCGCATGCTCTCTCATCATGCCCCATCACATGGTCTCACATCATGCCCCATCGCATGCTGTCACATCATGCCCCATCGCATGCTCTCCCATCATGCCCCATCGCATGCTCTCACATCATACCCCATCGCATGCTCTCACATCATGCCCCATCGCATGCTCTCACATCATGCCCCATCGCATGCTCTCACATCATGCCCCATCGCATGCTCTCACATCATGCCCCATCGCATGCTCTCACATCATGCCCCATCGCATGCTCTCCCATCATGCCCCATCGCATGCTCTCACATCATGCCCCATCGCATGCTCTCACATCATGCCCCATCGCATGCTCTCACATCATGCCCCATCGCATGCTCTCACATCATGCCCCATCGCATGCTCTCACATCATGCCCCATCGCATGCTCTCACATCATGCCCCATCGCATGCTCTCACATCATGCCCCATCGCATGCTCTCACTGTCAGAACTTAGGCTTAGAACTGATACATTAGTAGTGAGCTTGAAGCTCTTTAAGTACATCCAAGAAGGGCAAGGAATGGATGGGGAAGGAAATCGGGGGCAATCTCTAGGGATTGGGGGTAATCCCAAGGCAATCTCCAATTGGTGGGTTGGAGATTGCTTGGAGATTACATTTGGGTTTGGTTGGGATGTAGGTGTACGCTCAACTAAACACAAAGTGCAAACTACACTACTCTAGGATATAAATATATAAAGTACAAAGTGTGAGATTGATGGCTAACACTAACACCCCCCCATAGGCGTCAATCGAACTCAGGGCAGAGAAGGTGGAGCACAGAGCCCCATGGCACCAAGGAGACGGTGATGAGAAACTTTCCCAAGGGGCTTGGTGAACAGATCAGCCAGGTTGCAGTCAGATGCAACATACTCCACATTGAGCTGCTCTCGCTGGACAAGGTCACGGATGAAGAAGTGCCGAAGTTCGATGTGCTTGGTGCGAGTGTGATACACAGGGTCCTGGGAGAGGTGGATAGTACTCTGGTTGTCACACCAGAGGGTGGGGGTGGACTGAGGGAAGCTTAGCTCCTGGAGAAGGAAAGTGAGCCAACGGGCCTCTTGAGCAGCCATGGTGCCAGCGTAGAGCTCTGCCTCACAGGAGGAGAGGGAGACTGCTGACTACCTGGTGGAGCGCCAACTGACAATTCCGCTCCCAAGGGTGAAGCAGTACCCCTGAGAGGAGCGTCGGTCGGTCTGGTCATCAGCCCAAGAGGAGTCAGTGTAGCCTTCCAGCCGAGGAGGGGAGAGCCCACCAAGTGTGAGAACGTGAGACTTGGTGCCCTGGAGATAGCGCAGCACCCTCTTTGCCGCCTTCCAGTGAAGATCAGTGAAGCGTCCAGGGGCCACGTAGCGAGAGAGGACACTGACTGGATATGCCAAGTCAGGCCGGGTGCACATCATGGCGTACATGAGGGACCCAACAAGCTCCGGGTATGGCTCAGAGCAGGCCTCTGGTGTGGGTACAGCTGGGGCTGTGAGGAGGTGTTGCAGTGGCAGAGGGGTGGCAACGGGTGTGCACAGCTCCATCTCAAACCGCTTGAGCACATTGTTGATGTAGAACTCCTGGGAGAGTGAAATGGTGCGAGCCTTGCGATCACGAGTGATCTCCATCCCCAGGTAGTGCTTGAGGTCGCCGAGGTCTTTCATCTGGAGGGCCTTGCTCAGGGCCGTCTAGACAGAGGTCATCTGGGCCGAGTCCTTGGCAACGAGGATGAAGTCATCGACGTAGACCAGGATGTAGAATGGCTCAGAATGACGGCGGATGAAGAGAGTCGGGTCAGCAGACGATGAATGGAAGTCCAGGGAGAGGAGGACTTCTTTCACCTTGTTGTGCCATTCGCGAGGGGCTTGCTTAAGGCCGTAGACGGGGCGATTCAGCTTCCAGAAAGTGTTGGGAGGGAATTCCCCTGGGAAGCCTTCAGGTCGGTCCATGAACACTGTTTCCTTGAGGTGTCCTTGTAGGAAAGCTGATGAAGCGTCCATGGATTTGATCTCAAAGTCTTCTCGAGCTGCGACATCCATGAGCGTACGAATGGTGGGAGGTTTGGATGTGGGGGAGAAGGTCTTGAAGAAGTCGTGGTACTGCTGTTGGGTGAAACCCTTGGCAACGTAGCGCGCTTTGAACACCGGGGCCTCGTCAGGGAGCTGTTTCACACGAAACAACCACTTGCCCCCGACGATGTTGACTCCTGGAGGTGGAGTCTCGTCGTCGAAGGAGTGGTTGCGGGTGAAGGCTTCAATCTCAGCTTCCATGGCAGCACGCCATTCGGCAGCATGGGGACCCGAGAGAGCCTCTTGGACGGTGAGAGGGATAGGGATGGTCGGGTTCTCCGTGAAGTTGAGTGAGGGTGAATCAGTGATGTCGGGGAAGATGTGCGAGAGCTGAGGAATGACGGCGTGAAGATCACAGAGCTCCTCATGCCTGTCTTCCAGAAGGGTAGAGGGCACATCCCCCCCAGCAGGAGGAGTCGGAGTGATCGCTGTGCAGCGGATAAGTAGGGCCAGTGGGAGGGCAGCGCCGTGCGAGCGAGTGCCGTGAGCCACCGGAGAGGAGGGTGGGGTAGGCGGTGTTGGAGGGGTTGATTTAGGAGACTTAGGCGGGGGAATTGGTCGCCGCTGGTACGTGATCAGTTTGGGCGACTTTGGTGGAGCGGTTTCCTGGGTGGAAGAGGGGACTGATGGAGGAGGTGGGGCCAGAGGGTTCGACCGCCGATGGTATATGATGGGTGCGCTCGGAGGGAGCGGCGCAGCTGGCAGAGGGGGAGGTGAGGGGGATAGAGGAGCAGCTGCCGAAGACACCGGTGAGGCCGGGTCAGTGACCTCAGAGGGAGATGGTGCGATGGCAGGAGAGGGAGGAGGCGAGGGAGCTGGTGCAGGCGGGAGGTCGGGAGGCGCATCAAAGTCTGCCCAGACAAGAGAGGGCGGATCAGAGGGAGGATCCTGACCCGAGGTGGAGTAGAATGGGCGGGTCTCATCAAAGACCACGTCGCGGCTCCGAACTAGCTGTTGAGTGGAGGGGTTGAGGAAGAGGTAGTCAGGGGAGTCGGCATTGTGCCCAAGGTAGACGCACGTTTGAGTCTTGGGGCCGAGCTTGCCACCGTGGTGCCGCCTAGCCTGAGGGTTGAGGAGGACATAGGCGGTGCATCCCCAGACGCGGAGAGAGCGAGCAGTGAGTGTTTTCCCGAGCCAAAGTGTGGTAGAAGTGGTGTCAGGAAGATGCGGGTGGGGGTAAAGATTGTAGAGGAGGGCAGCATGGTAGAGGGCGTACCCCCAGAGAGAGAGCGGAGCATTGGAGTGGCTGAGGAGGCACCGAGTGATTTGCACCAGGGTGTGGTTGCGGCTTTCTGCTATGCCGTTCTGCTGCGGGCTGTCGGGAAGGGTGAAGTTTTGCTGGATGCCTTCGGAGGAGCAGAAGGCTTTGAGCTTGACGTTGCAGACCCCCCCATCCGAGTGAAGGCGCTTGACCTTGCGGTCAAAGGTGGTCTGTGCCTGCTTGACCCACGCCATGATGACCTCAGGAGCCTCGGCTTTAGTGTGGAGGAGGTGAACAGAGACGTAGCGGGAGTGGTCATCCACGATAACAAGGAAGTAGCGATAGCCACCTCGTGCGAGAACAGGGGCAGGGCCCCAGACGTCCATGTGCACTAGGTCTAGTGGGGCTGCTGCAACTGTGGGTGAGGCAGCATGGGGTTGTTGGCGCAGTTTGCTCTTGGTGCAATCAAGGCACGTGGGAGCGGGTGAGTCAGGTGGTGGATGAAGTGTGGCTGGCAGGCAGAGTAGAAGTTTCTTGGAGGCCATGTCAGCAAGCGTGCGGAAGTTTGGGTGCCCTAGCCGGTGGTGGTTTAGGCTGCGAGGATGGTCGGGTTGGAGAGGCTGCGACATGAGCACGGTGTGGTGGTAGCCTGTGCTTGGGTGTTTGAAACCTGAGGAAGAGGTACGCGTAGCGTGTAGAGGCCGCTGCTATTGAGGGTGAAGCGGGCCAAGACTTTGTTGGTGAGTGGATCGATGATGTCGCAATAGTCCTCATTCTCCGTGAAGATGGTGCGTAGTCCCGCATCCTGAATTTCCGTTTGAGCCACTAGGTTGTGGCGTAGTGAAGGCACGCACATGCCAGTGACAGTGCCGGATGGGAAGGCGGGGCATGGGACTGTGGAGGTGCCCTTGGCTAGGGTGGTGAAGCTGGAGTCAGCTCCCAAGAGAGGGATATGTGTTGGTAGGGTTTGAAGGAGAGTGTCTCCTTGAGCACAGTGTGAGTGGCCCCGCTGTCGAGTGTGAACTCTATGTATTGTGGTGCCTGTGATGAGCCGATGTACTGGGAGGTAGCTTCATTAATCATGGCAGTGCCAGGGAACAACAGGTTGATACGCACATCAGCAGGAGCACTATCACTAGCACTAGCCGAAGAGGGGTCCTGGACCTCAACGAGGTTGGCCTTACGAGGGCGCATCCAGTTTGGCGGCTTCTTGTCAACTCCGTGGATGGCATACCACTCGTCGTCTTTCTTCTTGAAGCACGTAGCAAGGGGGTGGTTAGTGCCACCACACACTTGTCCCTTGCGGTTGCCATACTTGACGACGTAGGGGCACGGAGGAAAGCGGTTGCGCTGGAAGGGCGCCGAGGCGAGAGCCGCTGCGACACTTGCTTGGGGCATGGGAGCGCGGATGGCGTACGCCTTGGCCTGAGCCGTGGAGTCTTTCTCGGCAGAGAGGAGTGCGGTGGAGACCTTAGCAAAGGTGAGGTCTTCCGCTGAGAGCGTGAGGAGCATCTTCCTCGTGACTTCATATGCCGAGGTGAGTCCAACAAGAAGGGCGGCTGCAGGGGCTTGCTCGGGGAAGACTATACCCAGCTCCTTGAATTTGCCATGAATGGTCTGCACCTTGGCAATGTAGTCGGCCATTCCCGAGCAGTCCTCAAGACGGACCTGAAACATGCTGGGGATGAGAATGACCACTCCGACCACTGTCTTGTTCATGAACCGATCCTGGAGATACTTCCAGATGGCGTTGGAGGTAGGGTAGTTATGGAACGTGTTGACAAGTTCGGGAGGGGTGGAGGCGATGAAGACGCTGATGATGGCAGCATCGGCCTTCTCCCATTTCCGGTACTTCTCAACAGCTTCCTCGTACGCCCTCACGTCAGTGTCACTTGCGGATTCGGTCGGCTCACGGGGGAGAGTAGGCTGCTTCCCCTTGCCACGGTTGAGGAGGACATCCTTGAGGTCAAGTCCCTGCATGTCACGACTCAGGAGGTGCTTGTCAACTCCGTAGCTCCATGCCTTGAAGTTGGAGCTGGAGCCATCGGCTTCAAGGCGGAGCGGGGTGATGGGGTTGGCCATGGTGGAAGAGGAGAGAGCCATGATGAAGACCCCTTGACTTCTTCGCGCGGAGCGCCGCTCTTAAGTCACTGATAGCGCGGCGATTTCGAAATCCGACGGACCAGAAAGGCAAAAATCGTCAATGTCGGCCGCGTCGAATTGCCTCGTAGAAGGAATTTTCAGGCCGTCGAAGTTAGGTCGAATCGGCCAATTTTGATAGAGCTAACCCTAATCCCACACACCCCCCACACACCGCCCTAAGCTTCACGGCTGCGCTGCTGCTCGGCTTCACGGCTACACGGCTGCTCGGCTTCGCGGCTACGCTGCTGCTCGGCTGCGCTGCTGCACCTGTTCAGCTGCGGGAAAAGGGGGGGATGGGGTTAGAAGTGCAGATGCGGGGCGACGGGTGGCAGCCCGAAGATGACGCTGCGGGGCGACGGGCGGCGGCCCGACGAGAAGCTGCAGGGCGACGGGCGGCGGCCCGACGAGGAGAGGAAGGGCGACGAAAACCGTTCGACGAAAGCGAGCGCGCTCGACGAAAAACGAGCGATAGGTTATAGCGCCGACGATGCGCTTACCAGAAAGATTGTTGACGTCGTCGAAATTGACGGGAACGTTGTGCGGGAAGATTTCCGCCTATGAACGTCGCGAATCTCCAGCGACGAGATTGACGATGGCTACGTCGAGGTTTGCGGGACGAGCATCCGCGAAGATAAGAGGATCACGATCCGCGTATGCGGTTGAAGGGCTCTGATACCATGTCAGAACTTAGGCTTAGAACTGATACATTAGTAGTGAGCTTGAAGCTCTTTAAGTACATCCAAGAAGGGCAAGGAATGGATGGGGAAGGAAATCGGGGGCAATCCCTAGGGATTGGGGGTAATCCCATGGCAATCTCCAATTGGTGGGTTGGAGATTGCTTGGAGATTACATTTGGGTTTGGTTGGGATGTAGGTGTACACCCAACCAAACACAAAGTGCAAACTACACTACTCTAGGATATAAATATATAAAGTACAAAGTGTGAGATTGATGGCTAACACTAACACTCACATCATGCCCCATTGCATGCTCTCACATCATGCCCCATCGCATGCTCTCACATCATGCCCCATCTCATGCTTTCACATCATGCCGCATTACATGCCCTCGCATCATGCCCCGTCGCATGCCCTCGCATCATTCCACATGGCATGCTCTCACATCATGCCCCATCGCATGCCCTCACATCATGCCCCATCGCATGCTCTCACATCATGCCCCATCGCATGCTCTCACATCATGCCCCATCGCATGCTCTCACATCATGCCCCATCGCATGCTCTCACATCATGCCCCGTCGTTTGCTCTCACATCATACCCCATCGCATGCTCTCACATCATGCCCCATCGCATGCTCTCACATCATGCCCCATCGTTTGCTCTCACATCATGCCCCGTCGCATGCCATCACATCATGCCCCATCGCATGCTCTCACATCATGCCCCATCGCATGCCCTCACATCATGCCCCATCGCATGCCCTCACATCATGCCCCATCGCATGCTCTCACATCATGCCCCATCGCATGCTCTCACATCATGTCCCATCGCATGCTCTCACATCATGCCCCATCGCATGCTCTCACATCATGCCCTGTCGCATGCTCTCACATCATGGCCTGTCGCATGCTCTCACATCATGCCCCGTCGCATGCTCTCACATCATGCCCCATCGCATGCTCTCACATCATGCCCCATCGCATGCTCTCACATCATGCCCCATCGCACGCTTTCACATCATGCCCCATCGCACGCTCTCACATCATGCCCCATCGCATGCTCTCACATCATGCCCCATCGCATGCTCTCACATCATGCCCCATCGCATGCTCTCACATCATGCCCCATCGCATGCTCTCACATCATGCCCCATCGCATTCTCTCACATCATGCCCCATTGCATGCTCTCACATCATGCCCCATCGCATGCTCTCACATCATGCCCCATCGCATGCTTTCACATCATGCCCCATCGCATGCTCTCACATCAGGCCCCATCGCATGCTCTCACATCAGGCCCCATCGCATGCTCTCGCATCATGTCCCATCGCATGCTCTCACATCATGCCCCATCTCATGCTCTCACATCATGCCCCATCGCATGCTCTCACATCGTGCCCCATCGCATGCTCTCACATCATGCCCCATCGCATGCTCTCACATCATGCCCCATCGCATGCTCTCACATCATGCCCCATCGCATGCTCTCACATCAGGCCCCATCGCATGCTCTCACATCATGCCCCATCTCATGCTCTCACATCATGCCCCATCGCATGCTCTCACATCGTGCCCCATCGCATGCTCTCACATCATGCCCCATCGCATGCTCTCACATCATGCCCCGTCGTTTGCTCTCACATCATACCCCATCGCATGCTCTCACATCATGCCCCATCGCATGCTCTCACATCATGCCCCATCGTTTGCTCTCACATCATGCCCCGTCGCATGCTCTCACGTCATGCCCCGTCGCTCTCGCATCATGCCCCATCGCATGCACTCGCATGATGCCCTGTCGCATGCACTCACATCATGCCCCATCGCATGCTCTCACATCATGCCCCATCGCATGCTCTCACATCATGCCCCATCGCATGCACTCAAACGCCTCTTACCCGCCGATTTGCTGCTGGCTGTGCGGTGTTGTGCCCTGTGCGTGTTCTTGAGAGTGTGTGTTTGGGGGGGCGCGCATGTGTGCATGTCTGTTGTCATGCATGAGCAGGCGGGCACATCACCGGGGGACGTAGACTGTCTGTGCTACAGCAAGGGGCCGGGCATGAACGCCCGCCTGCAAGCTGTCGCTTTTGAGAAGTCTTAAATAGAAACTCCAACATTCCTGTGTGTGTGCTCTTGTGTGTGCATGCATGTGCGCGCATGCATGAGCAGGCGGGCATAGCAACGGGGGACATATACTGTCTGTGCTACACCAAGGGGCCCGGTCCGGGCGCCCCTCTGCAAGCTGTCGCTTTTGACAAGTCAAAGCAACTCCAACATGCCTGTGTTTGTGCTCTTGTTTGTGTGCATGCATGTGCATGTATGCATGAGCAGGCGGGCATAGCACCGGGGGATGTAGACTGTCTGTGCTACACCAAGGGGCCGGGCATGGGCGCCCCTCTGCAAGCTGTCGCTTTTGAGAAGTCTTAAATTGAAACTTAAACATACCTGTGTGTGCTCTTGTGCATGCATGCACGCGCATGCATGAGCAGGCGGGCATAGCACCGGGGGACATAGATTGTCTGTGCTACACCAAGGGCCCGGGCATGGGCGCTCCTCTGCAGGCTGTTGCCATCGTCATCCGCACGCTCGCCCAGGTGAAGTGCGGTGGAGGCAGGTGAGGTGGGATGAGTGCAGGTGAAGTGCGGGTAGGTGAGGTGACGATGAGTAGCCGTGGCGCACGGCCAATCAACCGAGCCCTTCATAATGAAGGCTTCTTTCATCCCCCCCCCTTCTCTTCCACTTCCTTACAACCGGGAGCAGCTGTGGCGCAAGCGGATAGTCCCGGTGATCCCCTATGTGGCACACACCTTATGGGGCATAGTGCCGTGCCGTGAGCGCCTCTATGGCTTGCGTACATAGTGGGAGATGACCGTGGCTGTGAAGTGGCGCACATCTATAAGGCAAATCAACCCTGCTCCCTCTCACCCCCACCCCCCACCCACCTCCCCCCCCACACCCTCGCCAACCTTCCTCATCGCATCCCATCCCCCACCCCGTTACCACGGTGAGCAGCTGTGAGGCAAGCCAATACCCTGTAAGGTCGATCAACAAACCCCCCACCCCACCCCTTCGCTCCTCTCCGCCCTCTTTCACCCCCTCCCCTCCTACCACCGCGAGCAGCTGTGGGGCAAAGCCGATAGTGCCAGCGAATCACTGTGTGCCGCACAGCACAGCCATGTATGCAGCTCCCAAGGCCAATCAAACCCGGCCCCGCCCCAACCCCCCTCTCCCCCCTCCTACCACCGCGAGCAGCTGTGGCGCAAGCCGATAGTGCTGGTAAACCACTGTATGGTGCACCTCGGTGCAACTCCCAAGGCCTGTATTTCTTCTGCTCGCTTTGCTTCCCTCTTTTCTCCCTCTCTCCCTCTCACCCTCCCACGAGCAGCTGTGGCGCAAGCCCATAGTGCCGGTGAATCACTGTGTGGCGCACATCGAGATGGGACGCTGCGTGACTGGCGCCCATGACCCTGTGGTGCTATACGTCAGTGGCGGCAACACGCAGGTGCGTGCAGTGCGGTGCTGTGTGGTGCGGTCTGGTGGTTTGTGATGCAAGCCGATAGTGCCAGTGAACCACTGTGTGGCGCACATAGAGATGGGGCGCCGTGTGGTGCAGTGCGGTGCTGTGCTGTGATGTGACGTGATGTGATGTGATGTGATGTGATGTGCTGTGCTGTGCTGTGCTGTGCTGTGCTGTGCTGTGCTGTGCTGTGCTGTGCTGTGCTGTGCTGTGCTGTGCTGTGCTGTGCTGTGCTGTGCTGTGCTGTGCTGTGCTGTGCTGTGCTGTGCTGTGCTGTGCTGTGCTGTGTTGTGCTGTGCTGTGCTGTGCTAAGCTGTGCTGTGCTGTTCTTTGATTTGCTGTGATGTGCTGTGCTGTGCTGTGCTGTGCTGTGCTGTGCTGTGCTGTGCTGTGCTGTGCTGTGCTGTGCTGTGCTGTGCTGTGCTGTGCTGTGATGTGCTCTCCTGTGCAGTGCTGCGCTGCGCTGTGCTGTGCTGTGCTGTGCTGTGCGGTGCTGTGCTGTGCACGTGTGATTGCATTGTATGCTATTCTATGGTATACACAGGTATTGGTATGTGTAACATGTGTTTGCGTAATCACCATTGGCCCTCAAAATGCGTCTCTCAGCTGTTCAATGCCCTGTGCGCAACACCTGATGCTCTAAGCGGCAGCTGCATCTCCTGCTTGGCCCCTTCCCCCTTTCCTGCAGTGGGCAAGGGCAACTCCCTCAACCGCCCCCCTCCCCTCCCTCCCTCTGGCCCCTCCACGTGATACATACTCACAGGAGCGGTACCGCAAGCAACCACAACCCTCTCCGCCCGTTTTCCCTTCCCTCTTTTTAAGTGATAGCATACTCGGAGGGGCGGCATCGCATAGTCGGGAAGACCAATTAAGCACCTTAAATCCCCTCCCCCTCTCCACCTCTTTCCAGGTGATAGCATACTCAGAGGGGCGCTACTGCATATTTGGGGAGACCGTTGACATTTGAGGCGTCTCAAAGCCCTCCCACCCTTTCCCCCCCTCTCCTCCCACAGGTGATAGCATGCTCAAAGGGGCGGGGCGCTATCGCATATTCGGGGAGACCAGACCATCGACATTGCCGTGGGCAACTGCCTCGACCGCTGCCTTCTCGACCATGAGAGCACCAGGTGATAGCACATGGGGCGGTCCTGAAACCACAACCACCCTCCCCTGCCTCCTCCCCCCCTCTCCTCCCACCAGGTGATAGCCTACTCAGAGGGCCGCTACCGCATATTCGGGGAGACCATTGACATCGCCGTGGGCAACTGTCTGGACCGCTTTGCTCGTGTGCTCAACATCTCCAATGACCCCAGCCCGGGATACAACATCGAGCAGGTGAGGATGGGTGTGGATAGGTTCTGCTAGGTGCAAATGGACCACTTGGGCCGCGTGCTGCACATATCCAACGACCCCAGCCGCGGCTACAACATCTAGCAGGTGATGCGAGTGCGAGTGCACGCATGGGTGTGGGGTGGTTTTGGTAGGTGCGGGTAGGTGCGGTGCGGGCACGTGGGCAAGCGTCTGGACCGCTTTGCCCGTGTTCTCAACATCTCCAATGACCCCAGCCCGGGGTACAACATCGAGCAGGTGAGTATGTGTGTGGATAGGTTCTGCGCGGTGCAGGTACGTACGACTCAAGAGTCACCGTGTGCTCAACATCTCCAATGACCCCAGCGCCGGCTACAACATCGAGCAGGTGAGAGCAGCAGGTGGTGAGGGCGCGCGCATGGGTGCATGTGGGTGCGGGTAGGTGGGCAACTGCTTGGATCGCTTTGCCTGTGTTCTCCACATCTCCAATGACTTGAGCCCCAGGTACAACATCGAGCAGGTGAGTTCCCAACTCAAGGTTGAGTAGGTGATAAAAATGCATGCATGCATGGGTGTGAGTAGGTGCGGGTAGTGGCAAATCCTTGGATTGCTTTGCGCGCGTGCTGCACATCTCCAATGACCCCAGTCCGGGATACAACATTGAACAGGTAGGTCATGCGAGTGCACGCATGGGTACAGGTAGGTGCAGTGTGGGTAGGTGCAGTGTGGGTAGGTGCAGTGTGGGTGGGTAGGTGCGGTGTGGGTAGGTGCGGTGTGGGTAGGTGCGGTGTGTGTAGGTGCGGTGTGGGTAGGTGCAGTGTGGTTAGGTGCAGTGTGGGTAGGTGCGGTGTGGGTAGTGCGGTGTGGGTAGGTGCGGTGTGGGTAGGTGCGGTGTGGGTATGTGTGGGTGCAGACAGGTGCAAATGGACCGCTTTGCCCACATGCTGCGTATCTCTGATGACCCAGCCCCGGCTACAACATGGAGCAGGTGAGTGCGGTGCGGGTAGGTTTTGGTAGGTGCAGGTGAGACCCCAGCCCAAGTCACAACATTGAGCAGGTCATGCCAACACATGGATGGGTGCGGGTAGGTGCGCGTAGGTGCGGGTAGGTGCGATGTGGGTAGGTGTGGGTAGGTGTGTGTGGGTAGGTGCAAGCAGGTGCGAGTGGGGAGCAGGCATGTGCGTATCCTCTTCCCTGTTGTACCGTGTATGACATCCGAGAGTATCACTTTGCCTGGGTCCTCGACAACTGGGTGGATACAGTGTTTTGCAGCGCTGGGGAGCAGATCCGAGGAGGTGGAAAGATTGGGAGCAGGGAAAGCCATGTGAAATAGATGAGTTTATGTGACGTCTCAAAAACTCACTCATTTTGGGGAAGAGGGGAGGAGATCCGAGGAGGTGGAAAGATTGGGAGCAGGGAAAGCCATGTGAAATAGATGAGTTTTTGTGACGTCTCAAAAACTCACTCATTTCGGGGAAGAGGGGAGGAGATCCGAGGAGGTGGAAAGATTGGGAGCAGGGAAAGCCATGTGAAATAGATGAGTTTTTGTGACGTCTCAAAAACTCACCTATTTTGGGGAAGAGGGGAGGAGATCTGAGAAGGTGGAAAGATTGGGAGCAGGGAAAGCCATGTGAAATAGATGAGTTTTTGTGACGTCTCAAAAACTCATTCATTTCGGGGAAGAGGGGAGGAGATCTGAGGAGGTGGAAAGATTGGGAGCAGGGAAAGCCATGTGAAATAGATGAGTTTTTGTGACGTCTCAAAAACTCACTCATTTAGGGGAAGAGGGGAGGAGATCTGAGGAGGTGGAAAGATTGGGAGCAGGGAAAGCCATGTGAAATAGATGAGTTTTTGTGACGTCTCAAAAACTCACTCATTTCGGGGAAGAGGGGAGGAGATCTGAGGAGGTGGAAAGATTGGGAGCAGGGAAAGCCATGTGAAATAGATGAGTTTCTGTGACGTCTCAAAAACTCACTCATTTCGGGGAAGAGGGGAGGAGATCTGAGGAGGTGGAAAGATTGGGAGCAGGGAAAGCCATGTGAAATAGATGAGTTTCTGTGACGTCTCAAAAACTCACTCATTTCGGGGAAGAGGGGAGGAGATCTGAGGAGGTGGAAAGATTGGGAGCAGGGAAAGCCATGTGAAATAGATGAGTTTTTGTGACGTCTCAAAAACTCACTCATTTCGGGGAAGAGGGGAGGAGATCTGAGGAGGTGGAAAGATTGGGAGCAGGGAAAGCCATGTGAAATAGATGAGTTTTTGTGACGTCTCAAAAACTCACTCATTTCGGGGAAGAGGGGAGGAGATCTGAGGAGGTGAAAAGATTGGGAGCAGGGGCGAAAGCCCGGCTGGTTTTGCAGCCCACAGCCGTGGATGGGCGCTCTCTCCGCCCACACCCTCTCCTCGCTGCATTGTGTGTGCGACCCTCACATTTACTCGCTTTCTCCCTACTCCACTCCCCCCATGCTGCCCGTGCTCTCCTCCTTTCTTTCTTGCCATGCTCCGCAGCTGGCAAAGCAACGGGGGCGCTGTGGAGCTGCAGCTCCATCGTTGTCCTTCTTGGCTTCTTTGGCGCTATGTCCTTCTTGGCTTCTGAAAAGAGGAGCTGTATCCGTGGGCTTCCTCTCTGCTTTTGTAAGGAGGAGTGGCGCACTCGACTCGCTCTGTATCCTCGCCACAACTCTCTCGCTCACCACCCTCCCTCCCCCTTTGCTCCCTCCCCTTGTCTCCCCTCCCCTGCCCCTCCATTCCCTCACGCTCTGCAGCTGGCGAAGCAGGGGCATCGATACGTGGAGCTACCATACGTGGTGAAGGGCATGGACGTGTCATTCTCGGGCCTCCTCTCTGTCACACCCCTTGTCGGCCTCCCTCAACCCGCGCCTTCCCACTTTTTCTTGCTGTGTTCTGCAGCTGGCCAAGCAGGGCAAACGCTACGTGGTGCTGCCCTACGTGGTGAAGGGCATGGACGTGTCCTTCTCGGGCCTCCTCACGGCCACACCCCATGACGGCCTCTGCTCTCTCCCTCTCTTCCTCACCCCCTCTCTTGTTCGCAATGCTCTGCAGCTGGCCAAGCAGGGCAAGCGCTACGTGGTGCTGCCCTACGTGGTGAAGGGCATGGATGTGTCCTTCTCGGGGCCCCTCAGTGCCACAGCCTTTCACAGCCTTTTTTCTCAACGCGCCCTCTCGCTCTCTTGCTTGCTGTGTTCTGCAGCTGGCGAAGCAAGGGCATCGTTACGTGGAGCTGCCCTACGTGGTGAAGGGCATGGATGTGTCATTCTCGGGCCTCCTCACAGCTGTTGAGGGCCTGGCACAGCGTGTTTCTGCACCCGACAGCGTGGGGGACGATGGCTACACCGCGGCGGACCTCTGCTTCTCGCTGCAGGTCCGCCCTTCCTCACCCCCTCACCCCCTCACCCCCTCTCCCCTCTCTCCCTTGCTTGCCACGCTCTTCCGCTCTTTCATGCTCTCTGTGACATTTCTTGCTTATATTTCTCGTGGGGTTTTCGTGGGCCTTCAATGGGCTTACTCGCGCATGCAGGGTACGAAATGCTGTTTGTGGGACCCCCTCTTGTGCTGCTTGCTTGCTTGGTTGGATGGTGGCTTGGTGGGTTGCTTGCTTGCTTCCTTCCTTGTGTGGTGCACAGGAAACCATCTTCGCAATGCTGGTGGAGAAAACAGAGAGGGTCATGGCGCCGTGCAACAAGCGCGACGTGCTTATAGTGGGGGGCGACCTTGGAGTTGACTCACAATTCATCTCTGCTTGCTTGCTTGCTTCCTTGCTTGCACGGGGAACAGGAAACCATATTTTCAATGTTGGTGGAGACGACGGAGCGAGCCATGGCGCCGTGCAACAAGCGCCATGTGCTTGTACTGGGGTCGACCTTGAATTCTATCAAAAGTCATCTCTGCTTGCCTGCTTGCTTCCTTCCTTGCTTGCTTCCTTCCTTACGTGGGGAACAGGAAACCATCTTTGCAATGTTGGTGGAGACAACCGAGCGAGCCATGGCACACTGCAGCAATATTTGAGGCACAGCAAAACTTGCTTCCTTGCTTGCTTACTTCCTTGTTGCACAGGAAACCATCTTTGCAATGCTGGTGGAGACAACCGAGCGAGCCATGGCTCACTGCAATAAGCGCGACGTGCTTATAGTGGGGGGCGTGGGCTGCAACATCCGCCTGCAGGAGATGATGCAGCAGATGTGCTTAGAGCGAGGGGGAAGGCTCTTTGCCACAGACGACCGGTACTGCATCGACAACGGCGCCATGATTGCTTACACTGGGCTGCTGGCTTTTCAGCACGGTGGCCTCAGCATGACTGTTCCTGTAGCGGAGTCCACTTGCACTCAAAGGTTTCGAACTGATGAGGTGGAGGCGGTGTGGAGAGAGGGGCAGGGGAGAAAGGGAGAGGGGGTGGAGGGGTTGGAGGGAGGAAGAGCAGGTGTGGGGGTGAGGGTTGCAGGGGGTGGAGAGCGGAAGCATGGAGTTGAGAATGGAGATGGGGTGGGGAGTGGTGGGAAGGGGTGTGCGGGTGAGCAAGAGGGGTTGGGGATGGTGGATCATGTGGCAGGGCATTTAGAAAAGAAGCTCAAGGCTGATGGGGAGGAGAGAAGGGAAGAGAGGGAAGAGAAGGCAGTGCAAGAGGAGCCCAGTCTTATGGTGGTAGGCTGAAGTTCTGCTAGCAAGTGCTTAGAGCGTATTCCTACGGCCTCCTGTCAAGCCACCTCCTATCAAGATTGTACCGTATTCCCCCGGATATACCACCCTAGGGTGCTATGATAACTACACAAAAAAAGGGGGGGGGTCTTGTCATCGGAAAAAGCTACATTGCACCCGGGTCTTTACATAATGTATTTTTTTTTTATAGCGTAAAAGGTTTATAACTAAATGTACATGTTTGCCGTGGTGGTAGATTGTTGGTTGGGTGCGCAAAACCGAGGACTGGGCAATAACGTTAGTCTCGAGAATTAGCTGCCACATTGCAAGCTCCAACAAGGCCCACTGTCAGGCCCTGATTGGTTGAAAACATTCATGCAGTCACAAAGGCGGAGCGCCCGCAACAGCCTCAGCTGCCTCGCTGGGGCGGTCATGTCCTTGTACTGAGGGCGCATTCCTGAGGGCGCATTCCTTGTGCTGATGTTAACATGTAGATGGTTAATGACTGGAAACCCTATGCTATTTAGGCAAAAACTGCAATATTACCCGTGCATAACACCCCCCCCGGGTGCTATATAGGATGCCCCCAAAAGGGGGGGTATAGTAGAAACGAGGCCCGCTATAGCACCCCCCCCGCACAAGCCACCCGGGGGGTGCTCTATTTCGGCGGGTGGTATGTCTGGGGGAATACGGTACCTTTTGCCTGGTAAAAGTAGCGACAGGTTTTGGGTTTAGGGAATTTTCCAGTGTGAGCTTGATAGGAGGTCAGATTGATAGGAGGATAGGAATACGCCCTTAGTGACTTCTTCTACCTGTGTCCCTGTGAAGTGCAGTTCGTATATGAAAAAAAAAAAGGATTGCTGCTTTGTACATCATTCATTTCTCTTCAGATGTACCGCATCACTCCGGACATAAGCAAACACATCGCAATAGAAATTGGGAGTGAACATGCCCTACTGTATACAACATCAGTGGCAGTCCAGTGCTTCTGGTTCTGGCCACAGTTGCTAACGCACACAAGGCATCTATTCATTCTAATCTACCCTAGAAGTGCCTCAGCGCGGCACTCATTGTCCGGAGGGTGACTCGGCTGCTAGAGCCAGTTATTCTGCGCCGAGCACCAAACCTGCCGATGCCAACTGAAATCCCACTTGCTGCCAAGCAACTCCTCTCCTCCTCTTCTTCCTCTTCCATGCACAGTTGGTTCATGTAGCACACACTCCCCTTCCCACCCAATCGAAAGCCCTGGCTGCTGTAACTTTCATCACTCTCATCCTCCTCCTCATCATCCACAAACAGCTGGTTTGTAAACATGCTATTTCCCGCCAGCTTCCCAGCATCCTTCGCCTCCATGCTCCATCCTTTCACAGTGCTGCACAGACCTTGCCCGATCCCTTTATTCACACTCCCATTTCCATCAAATATGAAGCTGCTGTTACTCTCATCTTCACCATCATCGTCCCCAAACACGCCTTCTCCCACCAGCTGCCCAGCAAACTTCGTCTGCATGTTCCATCCCTTTCCACTGCTGCCAACACCTCGACCAATCCCCATGTTCACACCCATGAAGGTCGTGCCGCTGCTGCCATAGCTGTCAGTGAAAGAGTCAAGGTCACGGAGAGCAGAGCAGGAGGAGGAGGAGCTGCAGCTATCCCATGAGATGAGGCACGCACTGTGGCTGCTGCAGCTGCTCTCTCTGCGATTTAAGCTACATCACCCACTGCTTTCCTCTGCTCCCACCTTCACACCCTGCTGTGCCTTTGCGACCGGGAATGAAGGAGCTCCCTCCTCTGATTTGACACCCAACCAGGACGCGTCCCCAGATGAGCACTCAGCAGTTTCAATGAAGTGAACCGGATCCGTGAGCTCAACAGCAGCAGCTGCGACCTCAACAGCAAGGACCTCGCACTTGACAGCAGAAGCTTTAAGCCAGCAGTTGCGACCTCAACAGCAGGAACTGCGACCTCAACAGCAGAAACCGCGACCTCAACAGCAGTTGACACTGATGTCAGCAGCCCCGACAATGACAGCAGCGGCCTCTAGGTTGACAGCAGGAGCCTCGACCACGAGCGGAGCAGCCTTGGCTGCTACTTGCTCGCTTGACCTGGTCCGCTGGAAGTCGACCTGCCAAGGTTCAAGACAAATTCGCGTTAAATTTTGTTCTAAGTGACTCTGGCTCGGTAAAGCAAGAAGTTAACTTGCAGCAAGTTAAGAAAACAACAGGGAAACGAGAGGTTGGGAATTTTTGCTTACCAGGGACGGAAGAGGGAGGCATCTTGCTCCCAGCAGCTCGAGAAGAGGGAGTCAATGTCCACGCAGGGACTCGCAGCAACGATGCAGGCCATGCTGTTGACGGTCGTGGTAGGGACGACGGACTGGCTTAGTAGCTTAGACTGATATCGAAACACTTGAAGGTTCAGACTGCAGGTACCGAAGCCTTGCTAAAATCAGGGGACTGTAGAAGCTGGAAGGTTAAGCGATGATTCACAGAACTGATTGATGAATGGGAATAGGAATCCCCTATGCTCTTTATACCTTTTTTTCTCGGCTACTGGATTGAGGGGTCTGACGGGAGGCGAGAATGGGGTGCGAGGCTGAAAGCAGGGACGGAATGCGACGAAAGGCACGGAGGGGGTGGAAGGGAAGCGCTGGGTGCGAGGCAGCTTTGCGAATTCGTCGCCTGTGGGGTGGCTTTCTTGGGGGGAGCAGATTCGCAAGGGCTGGGGTGTGCGTCGGAGCCCATGGCGACGCCGTTGACTGGCCTACAGTGTCGCAGCGCTGTCCGGTTGAGCAGGGACGACTCAGAACGCGACACATGTTCTTCATGTGACAGCGTGGAGAGATCCTACTGGAGAACGCTATGCTTTAGGGTCCGTAGCAATAGGGTGTACAAGTGCGGTCCGGAAAAAATGTGAAACGCGGGAAACGGGGTAGGCTCGGAAGCTGGCGTATGTCTCGGGGGAGTGTGATTTGGAATGACAAACCTATTGCCGCGGCTCATAACTGGCTTAGTGAATGTCGGGGTGTTGAACAAGAGGAGGTAGGCTACTGATTCACTCGTAAACAAGGGTCCCTCCGCCATTGGGGAATGTTACGTGCGGCACGAGAGTGAGGAAGGCGGGAAAGCCCGCAGGTTCGGAAACTGACGAGAACTTCGGCGAGTAGATGGTATGATACCCAGCCTGTTGCCGAAGCTCAGCTATGACCTAGAGATTGTTGGGATAATGGATACTGAGGGCGCGTCCCCTCCCTCGATCGATCGCGCGATCGCAGTCGTCATCAACGGATACATTACCCCGATCATCGCCTTCCAGGCGCAGGTCTACTCGCCACCGCAGGAGGTCTGGGGGCGGATAGCGAAGCTGATCCATAACTTCCTCTCAGGAAACCACGCATCGGAGGAGGGGTGTTTCATCCTGTGGGGGAAGGAAACAATTTTCGCAACGCGAGAGGAGGGAGGTATTGGTGTGAGGGACCCGGGTGTTCTGGTCGCCTGCCTGGCCGCCAGGAGGATCGGAATCCTGCTCACTGAGACGAACGAAACGTGATATGATGTTTGCAGCTGCGGGGCTGCCGCTGGGCTGGACACTTTCTTGTCGCATGAGAAGCTGTTGAAGCATTGGGTGGGCCGGAGCGCGAGATGGAAGCAGACATGCGAGTGTTTCATGACGTCGCCGTTTGCCACTGTCAGCACACCCCTCACCGCAGCGGAAGTTGCCGCTGAGAGGCTGGTTTTCAACAAGGGCATTCTACTTAATGGGAGAACACCAGTTGGTGGTCAGAAAGCTGCTAAGGGCGCGTGTCTTTTGTAAAATCTATGCAAAACTCGAGTTTTGAGTTGAACTTACGCAGTTGAACCTAGGTCGACCTAGGCTCAACAATATTGGTTGCTGTAGCCCGAGTCGCTGCTCCTCAACCCACAAGAACCAAAAGACACGCGAAAGTTCAACAATCGAAGCTGAACTTTCCCGAGTCGCGGTTAACCTACGTAGGTTACCCTGTTTTTGACGCGTTTTTGGCGACACAGTAACCTTTTTTCCGAAGTCGTTCGTGCGCACGAAATGTGCTACGACCGTCGCCTAGATTCGCAACTACCTAGTGCATTGTCAAGAGGACACACGAGTGAATTTTTGTGCATGCATAGTTTCAACCGAAAGTTCAACCCATTCGTCATCTACAATGTTGTACTAGGACACACGATGCACAAGCGAAACATTTAGCGAGATTCGCGAATAGGGTTACCAGCAAAAGTCAACCAAATTTTCGAACCTCTACAGCAAAAGACACGCGCCCTAAGGCGCTTTGGGGGATCAGGCTGGGGGACCTGGTGGCGCCCATGGCGAACGTTAAAGAGCGAGGAAAGAAAAGAAAAAAGAAAAAAGAAAAGAGCGAGGAAATCCTAGCAGAATCACTCGGAACAGCACCTGCTCGGCTGGCTCTGAAGGGGCTGGCAGCCGCGCCTGAGAACTGGAGGGAGCTGCTGCTCGCCTCGTCGGTGGAGAATCAGGGCGCAGACACGGGGGGGGAGAGCGGCCATAGCCCCCGGGGCTAAGCTGTTCCGTACGCCTATTTTCCACCTCGGCCAAGTCGCTCCGATAAGACACCTGCGGTTAGCATGGAGGAAGCAGGGGTTTTCGGTGCGGAGGAGAGAGAAGTGGGCGAACAGATGGGGGGGGACAATTGACTGGAAGCGGGTGACCAAGATTTGGAACTCGCTCACCACGCCTAGTCGCCCCAGAGATGTTTTAATCAGGGTGCATAGTTTCAACCTTCAAGTTGGGGAGAGGCTGGCTTTCCTCAACTCGAAGGCGAAGTGTGCGTACTCTAGTGAGGAGGAGTCGCTCGAGCACTGTCTTTTCGAGTGCCCGAGAGTTCAGCTGGTGGTGGGGGCTTTGAAAACGGCTCTCAAGATGCTGAATCCCGGGCGCACTATCTCATCGTTGGGCGACCTTCTTTTCGGGCGAGCGGCGTCCAGCTCAGCTTTTCCGGAAGCAACGCTTACGGCGATCACCATCCATCAGCTGTGGGTTGAGAGATGTGAAGCGGCTTCCCGGGAGCAGAAATTTCGGTTGAGACGGGTTCTGTGGAGGATTGAGGCAGCTTTTCGGCTGCATGCAAGGGTTTTCATGAAACACGCGGGTGAAAAACTGCAGAAGGACAGCGCAACAGGGCGGAAGGTGACACGTGGAGGAGGGCCCAGCCAGGAGATGAGGCTTCTGGATCGAATCAGAGACAGGAACGCAAAGAAGTGGACGTGGAAGGCGGCTTTTGCTACCATCTGGACACGGAAGAGAAGGGGCAGCATCAGGCCGGGGCAGCTACACTGAGGCGGGTTCCACCTAGCCTCCAAGCGCAGTTACGACTGTTCTTGTTTTGTACACTTGCCTAATCGGTGTATAATGCAATTACCATAAAAAAAAAAAAAAAAAAAGCTGTGGAAAACCGATCGGGCACACCGATCGCAGGATTGGGGCGGGATTGGTAGGAGGTGACAATAGCGGATCGATCTCGATCCCTGGGTGACATGATCAAGAATACAAGGGGCAAAAAACCCTCGATCCCACTAAAGCCGAGATCGGTGTGGCCACGAGGGCCATCGATCTCATCAGCGTAGGTGACAAGATCGTTAGGCACCCGTTACTGTAGATTCGCAAGCTTCCTCGAATCCTGGTCACCCTGTCAATTGCGACAGTGTATCTGCTCCTCGATCGATCGAGGCCCGGATCGATCGAAGGAGGGGACGCGCCCTGAATCTCACGGCTCATATTTGCTCAAGGACTTGGTCTTTCCAGCCCAATGCTTTCTCGATTTAGGAAACAAAACAAAACAAAACAAGTAGAAAAACGAAACAAGTAGATCTTCTGTACGTCTATTTTACTCCTTATGGCAACATATACGCAAGCTCTCAATGTTGCGGGTTTGTTTCCTCATCAAATCTGCAATACTCGAGAAGATGACCATGGCTTTGCATATTATTTCAAACTCAGTACTTTGTGTCAAAAAGAAGCCCTTTTTATGACACTTTTACATCAGGCAAACAGGTCCCGCCGACCCACCTTAGAAGAGGATGCAGATTGAGACTCTAATTGAAACCCTTGGACCATATCAGACTTCCCTTACAAGTTTGGACTTGTAGGGTTGATTCCCCTGTGTTTTCCACTACGGTACACTCATACGGTTTACACCGTTCTGCAACTGCTCATGACTAGTTTACGCCTTGCTCATGAATGCTTGCCAAGAAGATTACAGTACGTAAACCACCAAACTAGAAAAACATCGCTCCAATGTTGAACAGCCCGCTTCAGGACAAGACAAATCATGCCACCGGCAGCCTGAGCATCTGATCACTGAAGGGGTCAACAGCAGACTGCGGTAACCACTGCCACACGGCCACAGGTGCCATGCCTGGCATGACATATGGCATCAGCTGCAGGACCAGCAGCGGCAGCAGTCCCAGCAGAAGCGGCAGGATGAGTATGAACAGCAGTCCTGTACCGGGATGAGTGCCTGCAACGGCATCGTTGTCTTGCACAGGGCGTGAGTGAGGGTGCGGTTGAGGGTGCGGTTGAGGGTGCGGTTGAGGGTGCGGTTGAGGGTGCGGTTGAGGGTGCGGTTGAGGGTGCGGTTGAGGGTGCGGTTGAGGGTGCGAGTGAGGGTGCGAGTGAGGGTGCGAGTGAGGGTGCGGTTGAGGGTGCGAGTGAGGATGAGGCAGAGCATGCACCACGCCCAAGCATGAATTGTATGGGGATATCAATCCCATGGGTGCACCTAGCGCTGCTACCTTGCCTGGCTCACACGCTGGGTGCAGCACAAAGAGAACAGCAGCAACAGCACCAGGAGGGGCACAAAGAGCAGATTTAGGAGCACAGGGAGCAGCAGGAGGAGCTGCTGAGCGGCTGAGACCATTCATGCTGCAGTTCCCATCCCATGCACCTGATCTGCTCCTCCAGTAAGCGAGCCTTCTCCTCACGCACCTCACTCTTCTCCACCTGCACACAAGGAATGTGTTTGGCACTGGGCAAAATGCATGGAAATCTACGAAAGAAGAAGAAAACAAAAGTTGACACACTTTAACTCTCTATGTAGAAACAGGCTGCAATCTCTACCCCTCAATCGCCTCTGCCTGCATTCCTCCTACCTCTTTCCCCTTTCTCCCTCTCACCCTCCCCCCAACACTTGACATTTCCCCCACTTTCCCCCACCCTCACCTTGAGCTCGCGCATCTGCTCCTTCTGCTCCTCGACGCGACCCCTCTCCTCCTTCATCAGCTGCTCCCACCACGTCCGCCCTCAGCTGCGCCAGAATGCTCCATTGCTCCCCCTGTTCGTGCGCGCCAGCTCGCTCCTGCTCACTCCCCTCGTAAGACCTCGCTCAAGCAACGATGTATGCCAGCCACCTACGCCCTGACCTTTTGATCATGGGACGAGTCAACAAGTGGTTGTGATAACCACTGCCACATGCCCATGGGCGGCATTGCTGGCATGCCATATGGCATGGCCGGCAAATGCAGGTATTGTGGAGCAGGTGTAGCCACAGCAGGTGAACCACCACTAACTGAACCAGCCGCCGCACCAGCAGCAACAGCAGCAGCAGTAGCAGGTGAACCAGCAGGAGCAGCAGCAGATGTACCAGCTGAAACACCAGCAGCAACAGCAACACCACCACCACCACCACCAGTTGAACCGGCTGAACCAGCAGCAGCAGCAGCAGCTGTAGGAGGATGGGTTGCAATGGGGTATGCCATGAGAGCGGTGCCAAGGTTTTTGCCTGCAGGGGGAGACTTGTCTTGCACAGTGCGAGGCTGGGGGCGGTGAGGGTGCGAGTGGGGATGAGGGAGAGGATGAAGCATCCCCCCAGGCATGAACGGAATGGGCATCAATCCCATGGGCACTCCCATTGGAGGCAGCTTGCCCGGGTCACACACTGCATGCAGCATCAACGGCACCGCTCCAGGCGAGCCAGGAGAACCCGGAGCACAAGGAGCAAACCCAAGAGGAGGAGAAACAGCAGCAGTCGGCCGGGCGGCTGAAGAAACCACTGGTGTTGTTGCTGCTGACGTGGCGGCAGTGGATTGGGCGGCACCGGATGCTGCCAAGCGGCGGACCTCGTCTTCCAGCTGCTGCTTGCTGGCCAGCAGGCGCGCCCTCTCCTCCCTCAGCTCGCTCTTCTCCGCCTTGAGCTCTTGGATCTGCTCCCTCATGTGCTCCGCCGAGCCCCTCAGGTGGCTCATCTCCGCCCGCAGCTGCACCAGCACGCGCACGGCGTCCACCAAAATGCTCCCCCTGTCCGCGCGCGCCAGCTTACTATGCTTCAGCGCCCGCGCCAACTCCTCAAACCTGGGGCAAGGTAGGGGGGCGGGAGGGGGAAGTTAAGAAAGGAAAGAGAGGGAAGGGCAGATGTTAAGGTGCCCAAAAAACAGGCGCTGGGAAAGGGTGCAGCATTCTTTGAGAAAACAACGTATCGAGAGCACCCAGCAGGCAGCAGCAGCGACGCACCTGTCGTTGAGTCGGTCGCGGCGCATCTTCTCCCGATTGGCCTTGTTGCTGTTCGACTCGCTCGGCTCCTCCCGCTGCCTGGCCTCACACACGCGAGACGCCGGGGGGTACGTGAGAAGGGGGAAGCTGCCAGGACAGGGGAAGTCGAGAGGCGGAGTTGTGAGATGGGGAACGCCGGAAGCATCCGGAAAAAACGAACGACCGGGCAATAACGAGGATCTGAACGAGATGAACGGCGCAAAGTTGCTTTCAGGACCAATGCGGTCACAAGTAAAGCCGCCAAGGAAAGTAAATTGCGCCAAATGACTCGCCTTTTATGCGAAGCAGCGCCGCCGGCTTGGTGCTCTTGGTACCACGCCCCTGGGTCGTTGCCATGCGACGGCTCCCTCCACTGCGACGGCTGCTTGTCCGCCGCACTGCTCTCATTGGCACGACTGGACGTCCTGACACAGGGGGAAGGGGGACGGGGGAAGGGGGAAAGGGGAAACATGAGGAGCACGTGGAAACTGAATAAGGGGAAAGGGGAAGTGGGAGGAGACGAGCCGATGAGAAGCGAGGACGGGGCTTTTGAGCGAGAGACACGAAACGGTAACGCTAGACGCGCCGATGACCTGACATGCCGCATTGAAATCACTTGTTACACCGCTGAGTGTGCATTGTGCGAATCACATTTACCTCTCGGAATCCTGACACGCGGAATCGTGCTGCTCGGCCAGCATATTCTCCAGTAGTAGTGAGGAACGTCCGCCGTCAACGTGAATGATGACGGAATCCATCAGGTCTTTCATCCATTGACACTGGCTGGTGGGGAACGACCTTGACAGCGTCGCCATGAGGGAATGTAGGTAGTGAAACCGGCGGGAAAGGCGGAAAGGCGGGAATGACGGGTGGACGGGGCGAGACAGGCGCTTGGCAGCTTGGCGAGTCGTCAGGCGTGAAAGTTCGAAGTATATTTGGTGAGTGGATGTAGCGGGTGACGATCGGGCAGGCAATCTTCAGGTTGACGAGTAACAGAACGCTGGACAAGAAAAGGTAGCGCCACTGGAGAGATGGCGAAGTGCGGATTGAATAAAGTGGCAGAAGCCTTCAGGCTCAAGACTTAATCAGTCGACAAGGACAAGGCGCAAAATAACAGGGAGCCTAGGTAGTAGCCCGGGGCTGATCGGCAAGACAAGAAAGTACGGAGCCAGGGTAGTAGCCAGGGTTGGGCTAGGTAGAAGCACGGTCAACAAAGTTGGTACGGAGGAACATCGCACCCTACAGGTACTGTAGGGTTCATACACACCCTACAGGTACTGTAAAGACCAGATAACTGCCGCCGCCGCCCTGGAAAGGTAGTAGGATAGGGATTACGACCGAACCTTGCTAGACGCGACGCGAGCTGCCACACCTCTTTGCTTGACGACCATTGGAGGGCGAGATCGTAGGAGGAGGCATGATAAGGGAGCATATTGGAGCGAGCACGCCACGTCACCACCTAAGTAGCGGGTTTCTGGACCTTCAATTTCTGTGTATTACAGAAGCAGCGAAATCGCCACCACGCACACAAGCCGCTTTGCAGGCGGCTCCCGCCACGCGAGCCGCTAGAGCTGCGACTGGGTGGAAGAGATTGAGCGAAGGAGTGTGGGGCGAATCGTCGTGACGTGGCTGGTCCGGTAACTGAGGGAATGGGGAAAAGGGGACGGGGTAGGGGGGTGGAGGTGGGGCTTTGAAGGGAGCACGTCCCGTGTCGAGGCATCGACTTCTTGACTTTCCCTTCTCGCCTTCTCCTCCACTCAAACCTCATCTTCAACTCGAGTGTAGGGTAAGGAGAGCCCAACGCAAAAACACCGCTCTGTACCTTTTGGAAATACCTATGCACCGTCGTGATTTTCTGGATTTCTACTCGTACGGAGATCCTTCCCCCCTCCTCGGCTCTCCCTATTGGTCAATTAGGTGAATTCTCAGAACTTCAAAGGTCACTCTCGGAAAGTGGCGTCGTTCCAATGCACTAACTCCGACGCGCCAGCGCCTTCGATTAGAAATCCCCTCCCCCAGACACTCTAGAGACAGGGTGATATTCCGCCCTTTTCGAAACTCACCTTAGCAACGAAGAGGTCCCAGTACAGTTACAGTCCTACCAACCAGTTCCCGAAACGCCCGCCTTTCCAGGCTCCCCCTCCCCCAACCCACCCCACCCCCACCCCCACCCGCTTCTCCCTTGCCGAAACTTGAGGAAAACCCGCGCAATTTGAGGTGTGTTCCGTGCTACCTAGTGAAGGTTGGGTGAGTGGAGTGGATCAGCCCCCGTCCAGATCAGACCGAGTGACGACCACAAAAGCGAGCGCGCTAGAAAGTGTGTTGAATGTCCGTCCATCCATACTTGCGCGTGCTTGTCGTCACTCAGATACCTCCTCCACAGTCGAAATCACTCCAACGGAATCAAATCAGAACGGACGTTAAAGCCCAAGACCTGCATTACAAAAAAAAAAGGCAGACTGTGCACAGTTTGCCTACCGAACCCACAGTTGACCTCCCGAGACAGTGGCCATTACTGTGCTGGCAGCAAGCAAGCACGTGACGCGGGTTCCTGATTAGTCCACCCAGGACTGACGAAATCCGAAGTGAATGACAGAATCCGACGTAACTACAAAAAGTAAAAGGACTCTCGTAGCCGGGCCGCCCTTTTCCTTAGATAGCGACTGTAGCTTTCTGTAAACTGTAAGAAGAATATAACAAAAGTGAAATTGTTACAGTATTGGGTACGTTATTCATTACAATAACTCCATGCAGACATAAATACAATAAACACACATCCACAAGCACATGCTGCCTGTCAGGTATCATACATATGCTGGAATAATAGAAAGACCATGAAAGCAATCCCTGAGGTATCGCACCAGCGCACGCCCTATAAACTTGCTGTGCTCTAACTACTGGTATCGTATCACTTAGGTACCGTAATCCCCGGATATAGACCCTAGGGTCTTATTGTCAAAGCCTTTAGTGATGCGTGTCATATGGGGTACACTAGTTAGAGCTAGGTTTATATACCCCAACCCACAATAGTCTACAATTTATTCGGTTTCTGACATGGTACCACCTAGATTAGGATCCTGTGGGATACCAATCCTCCCGTACCCTAGCGCCCGTTGCGCCCGTACCGTCCCCTAGCGCATGTCGTGCCCGTCCCGTCCCGTCCCCTCCCGTCCGTCGCGCATCCCTGCCCGTCGCGTCGCACCCTGCCAGTCCCGTCGCGTCGCGCTCGTTTCTTCCCGTCCCCTCGAGCCCGTCGCGCCTCCCTGCCCGTCGCGTCGCGTCCTGCCCATCCCGTCGCGTCGTGCCCTGCCCATCCCGTCGCGCCGCGCCCGTCCCGCCCCCGGCCGTCAAGCCCTGCGCCCTGCCCGTCGCGCCAGATGCGCCCTATCCGTCCGCGTGTCAGAATGTTGTATTTGTCTAGCCTGCAGTGGGGTACTCTATAGCGAGTACAGCCCAATCTAGGGTTTGCTATTTGTATCTCAACTGCTGCTAGTCCAAACTCTCTTTCTGTTTCTAAACTTTGCCTACTACTTCTGACATGCTATCAGAGCAGGTCGACCCCCTTGGGTCGATCCTGTGGGTGGGCCCACCACCTAATGCTTCCGCTGCTGTTCTACTTGTCGCGCGCCTCGGTCGCGCGACGCCTCCTTCCTGCCGCGCGCTCCGCGCGCGGCGAAATTTTTTTAAAGGTTTTCATCCCGCCGTACGCTCGGGGCGTGCGGCGGTTTTCTGCCTGCCGTGCGCCCCGAGGCGCGCGGCGGTTTCCCACCGTCGAAGTGCCCCCCGTCGCCCATCGAAGCGCCCCCCCCCCCCCCCGTCGCCCGTCGAAGCGCCCCCGTCGCCCGTCGGAGCGCCCCCCGTCGCCCGTCGAAACGTCCCCGTCGCCCGTCGAAGCGCCCCTGGGACCCGCGCGCGGCCCGTACGGGCTGCGCCAGGCCCGCGCGCGGCCCGTACGGGCTGCGCCAGGCCCGCGCGCGGCCCGTACGGGCTGCGCCAGGCCCGCGCGCGGCCCGGGCAGCCCGCGCGCGCCTCGTCCCGCCTGCGGCAGACCCGTGCGCGCGCCTCGTCCGTCCCCCAAGCTTCTGTCGGCGCCCCACCCCCGCTACTGCCCGCGTTCCTGTGTTAGGGTTTGGGGGTGGCGGGTGTGGGGGTGCCGGTTGTGTGCCCCGTCCCCTCCTTCTCCTCCTCCTCCGTCTCCCGCTGCTGCAGCTGCCGCTCAGGGGGGTGGGTGTGTGGGGAGCCGACGGAGTGGTACTAGGGGGGTGAAAGGGGAGTGGAGCTAGGGGCGAAGCAGGGGGTGTGTGTCGAGGGGTGTGGGACTGTTGGGGGAGGTTGAGCGGAGGCCGCCGTCGTGTCGTCTGCAGCGCCTGTATTCCGGGGTTCTGATAGCCACCGGTAGCTCAGAGAGCCGGTTGCACCTGTCGCCCGTGGGTCCGTTGCTCCTGTCGCTGCTGATCAGACGCAGAGCCTGTTACTCCTGTATTCCGGGGCCCTTGCTCCCGGTAGCCACTAGAGCTGCACCAGAGCCGTCTGTTGCCCGTGTGTCTGCAGCTTCAGTCGTCGCCTCCACTCTTCTCTCCTCTCGCCAGCCCTCCTCCTCCTCACTTGCCCTCTGTGACTGCCTCTAGCTTTGCTCATAAAATGTGAACTACTATTATGACTGCTTGTTGTGCTGATTACACCCCACTTTGGCTATGGGGGTGTGTCAGAATGTTGTATTTGTCTAGCCTGCAGTGGGGTACTCTATAGCGAGTACAGCCCAATCTAGGGTTTGCTATTTGTATCTCAACTGCTGCTAGTCCAAACTCTCTTTCTGTTTCTAAACTTTGCCTACTACTTCTGACACCGCGCCTGTTGCGCCCCGCTCGTCTCGCCTTGCGCCTTGCCCGTCCGCGCCTGTTGCGCCCTACCCGTCGCGCCTTGCGCCATGCTCGTCCGTGCCTGTTGCGCCTGTCAGAATGTGATATTTGTCTAGCCTGCAGTGGGGTACTCTATAGCGAGTATAGCCCGAATTAGGGTTTCCTATATGTACTCAACTGCCTGCTAGTGCAAACCCTCTGTTTCTGCTAAGCTTCTGCTTGCTATTCTGACATGCTATCAGAGCAGGTCGACCCTCCCTGGTCGATCTTGTGGATGGGCCCACCGTTAGCTTCCGCTGCTATTCTACCTGTCACGCGCCTCGGGCGCGCGATGTCTTCTGCTTGCCGCGCGCCCTGCACGCGTGGCGTTTTTTCTTCCCGCCGTGCGCCGCCACGCGCTCGTTGCGCGTGGCGGTTTCCTGCCCGCCGCGCGCCCCGGGCGCGAACGGCGGTTTCGTAGCCCGTCGCGGTGCCCCAGGGGCCCGTGCGCCGTCCCCTCCCATCGCCCGTCGCCGCGCCCTGGGGGCCCGCGCGTCACGGCGCCCTGGGGGCCCGCGCGTCGGCCCCCCTCCCGTCACCCGTCGCGGCGCCCTAGGGGCACGCGCGCCGCCCTGCCCGTCGCCCGTCGAAGCGCCCCAGGGATCTGTGCGCCGCCCTGCTTCTGCTCGCACGCCGCCCCAGCTGCTGCCCGCATATCTGCCCCGCACCATGCGCGCGCCGCCTGCGTTTAGGGTATGGGGGTGGCGAGTATGGGGGTGGCGGATGTGTGAACCGTCCCCTACTCCTCCTCCTCCTCCGTCTCCCACTGCTATAGTTGCCGCTGAGGGGGGTGGATGTGTGGGAGCCGAGGGAGTGGCGCTATGGGGGTGCTGTGGGATTGGCGCTAGGGGTGCAGCAGGGGGTGTGTGAGAAGGGGATTGGGTCAGTGGGGGGAGGTTGAGCGGAGGTAGCCGTCGTGACGTCAGCAGCGCCAGTAGTCCGGGGCCCTTGTCACAAGTAGCCCAGCGAGCGTGCTGCGCCAGTCGCCCGTGTGTCAGTTGCTCCTGCTGCTCGACTTAGCGCGGAGCCAGTTACTCCTGTAGTCCGGGGCCCTTGCCACCGGTAGCCACTAGCGCGCCGCTCCTGTTGCCCGTGTGTCTGCGGCTTCACCCGTCGCCTCCTATCTCCATTTCCCTCACAGTCCCTCCTCCTCCTCACTTGCCCTCTGTGACTGCCTCTAGTTTTGCTTGTACTTGTGAACCTGCTCTATGACTGCTGTTATGCTGATTATACCCCACTTTGACTATGGGGGTGTGTCAGAATGTGATATTTGTCTAGCCTGCAGTGGGGTACTCTATAGCGAGTATAGCCCGAATTAGGGTTTCCTATATGTACTCAACTGCCTGCTAGTGCAAACCCTCTCTTTTTTGCTAAGCTTCTGCTTGCTATTCTGACAGCGCCCTGCCCGTCGCGCCCTGCGCTCTGCCCGTCCGGTCGCACCGTGCCTGCCCTTTGCGCCGCGCTGTGCCCGACCTGTTACGTCCCTCCCTTCT